TTTATCTTCCCTCCAAAATAATCCTTTGCCCTGCATCAGACGAGAGGTACCCCCTCCAGGGCGCCCTCAGAATCCTGGAACTAACACTCCCAGCCCCACCTCCCCTTCAACAGCCATTGTGCCACCACAGCCAGGCCCACAACGACCAGCCAAGCCCCAGCATGCACAGCCCCAGGAACCTTTGTACCCCAGCAAGCGCCTTAGCATTTTGGAAGAGGAAGACCCACCGAGCCACCCAGTGACTAACCACCTTTCTTCCTCTGCTTCTTCCACCTGGAAGTGTCCGAGCTGCTCTTTGCCCAACCCTAGTGGCTCATCAAAGTGTGAGGCCTGCAGATCATCAAGAGCTGGTGCCGACCTCATTGACCTGGTAGGCTGTGAAACGGTACGATTTACTCCAGCCAGCCCTTCTAGTCCCGACTTTAGCACCTGGGCTTGCTCCAAGTGCACCCTGCGCAATTCTACAGGCGCACACAAATGCTCTGCTTGTGGTTCTTCCAAACTGCACGGCTTTCAGGAGCAACAGCCCTCATTGCCCCGCTGCTGTACAAACTGTGGCCTCACAACAGGGTCTAGCAATGCATCATGCTCTTGCACACCTTCCTCCTCAGGTCATAAAACACGGAAACAGGCCCGAGGTTTTCCTCCCTTTTCATCTGCTGTTGCTTCCTCCCCTTCCTCTTCCTCGTCTAACTTTCAGGAGAAGGTAGGACAGTGGAGCTGCCCAGCATGTACACTTCTCAACGACATCAAGGCCAAGAACTGTGCAGCATGCCACACACCCCAGCAGTACCTCACCCTTCGCAAGGTGGTTAAGCCTCTAAAAAGGAGGGAGAGCATGCACGTGGAAGCCAGGCGACGAAACGATGAGGGTGAAGCTACGGAGCTCTGGGAGAACATTGTTAGCTTCTGCAGAGAGGTAAGAGAAACTTAAGTTTTAGCAGATAACTTCTTGATTTGGTCACTGGATGTTTTAGGTGACTTTTTATAGGCTTCGGGCTGTCTCAGGTGAAACTGTGCTGTACGCCATATTTAAATGGCTTTGGGGCTTTTTTAAGGAGCCCCAGGCTATAGGTCTATTGCATCTCCTCTGAGGTCTAGGCTCGAAAAATTAAGTCTGAATTTGTGTCACTCCTCAACACTGCTGGAGTGTTACATCTTCTATGCTGGGTCAGACATCCGCTTAAGCACAATAAAACCAGAAAGTGCACTTCAGCTGCACTAACTGAAAATCTGTGAATGTTAAACATTTCAACAGGGACTGGGGTGTTTTCATCTGTGCCTTACAACATAACTGCATATAACAATCATAAAATAATCAAAGATGAGTGTTTTTGGTCTAATTTCACTATTTTCTCCCCATCATTTTGAAAGCCGCATGCATGACTGAGTTGAAATGTTGCGCTCACAAACAACAATTTATTTGGTACAACTTTTAATTAGAGTTTATTTGTTGTAGTTGAAATTAAACATGAGATGATGACTTGGATAGAAAAATATAAATAAAAGCAAGGAAATACTCTTACCAATTAGAAATGTTTAACAACTGGTTCTTGGAAAAGCTTTCTTAGAATAAATTACATGTAAAGGGATTTATTACATATGAAGTGTATTTACAAAAAAAAAAACCACATACACTTGTAAAAGAAATTATTATCAATGGATTCAAACATACTGCACTTATGTAATATACTTTGATATAATTAGTCACACTGCCTTTATGAGCACAATTTACTTTTTGTAGTTCTGCTTTTTGGTTGTCGCTTGCTGTTCCCGTTCCTACAATATACTTTTTTTATTTCAGAAAAATATTAGTGTTATTGTCTCTGTTTGCGCTTGTTTCATTAGCATCCTTTTTAAAATGCCAAGTGAAAACTAAATGAACTAAACACTAATTCCTGAGTGTCTAATTTTTACATTCAGATGTGCTCTCATGAATGAATTTGCTTCCAATATTTCTTAATAATTGTTTTTTTGCTTGGATTATAACTTGCACAATCCCTTTTACTTTCATTGCAATACAAAGCACACCTGCTGTTCAGAGATAAAAGCTTTTTTAAAATTATTTAATTTCCCTTTAATGGGGAATGTGTTGCTTTAGTTTTCCATTTTAATAAAATGGCAAATTATTATTTTTTTGTATACACCACAAGTTAACACATTTTAATAGGATGTATACATGTCAAAAGGTTAATCATACAGGTTTTTCAGTGAAGGAAAAATACTAATAATTGTAATTTGTTGTCATTAAATGAACGCCTGTTTTCTGCATCAGCTTTTAGTGATCAAAACGATCAAAACCACTTTGAGGTCTTTTGTACAGTTTGTGACATCTGATTGGTGCTTCAGCATCCCAGCTGTTCAGAAACATAGAGGCGTCCTCCCTAGCAACTATAGCTGCGATGTGACAGTTTTTATGTTGCGTCTTTGCATCAGACTGTTTCAAGCTTAAGTCGTCTCTGCAGAACTGAACCTTTGAGAAGCCTTTATTATGTTGTCATGGATATGTACTCCGAACTGTCAGTGGGCTTCATTTTAAACCCATTTGTCAAGACAGCTTTACACTGAGGCCAATAAGACAAATCTGACTCAACCTGCAGGGTGCAGAACAGTTTAGATGCATGTAGCAGGCCAATGCTGAATTTTTTTCGAGTGTCTGATTGTGCGACCCTTTTTACTACATCGGCATTGCACCAATCATCTCATGTTTACAATAGCGTGAAGTGAGCTTCAGAATGCATTATTAATGCCTTCTTTGAAAGTCACGGGGTACATTTCTGCGAACGTGGGAGGGAAGTTGACTCAGTAGGGAGGAAGGATATCTGAGATCCCTCATTCCCCCTCTTCTTAATTTAAGATTATTAAAATGGCACTTTTCTCTCTTTCATCTTTTTTCCCTTCTATTCCTATCTCTACGTGACCCTGCTCTGTACTCCTCTCTTTTTTGTCTCCATCCTTTTCCATCACATCTGTCTCCACATACTCTTCTCATTTTTTATCTCCTTTCTGCTAATTCTTTTAAATAAATTATCCCCTTGCCACCTAACACCCCTATTATACTTTCTCCTCACAACTGCACTAAACTCTCCAGTGTGTGTCTTTGCTTGCTGTGGATGTATAAAGGTGAACACAGGGCAAGCTTATTTTTAGCAGCAGAGCAGGGAAGAGGAGAGGAAGTGATCAGCTCCCCTGTAATAAATTTAGCAGCATCTATCGATGTGTCTATTTTTTAAGAAATCAAACCAATAAAGGGGCAACAACTGGTGTGGTGGCAAGAGGTTTCGGTTTCTCTAAACCTTCTGTGTGAGGGGACTAACACTAAACAAGCACCACAACATCAGTGGTGGAAATGTAATATAGATAGAAGCTTTTTGTGTGCCCCTTTTTTTTTATTTTTTTTTATAAGACATTTGAGGCAGCCTAACAAGTATACAGCAGTTGTTTCAGTCTGGAAGATTGTCTTTTTTTTTTGAGTTATTGGATTATGCAGATGATGATGTTGTTTCTGAAATCCAAGCACCGGCTCATGTAGTGGTTTGTCCATATTGCATCAAACAATAAAGGTCAACAGTGGAGCTGGAGTTAAGCTATGAGGAATAATCTCTTTTCACCAGAGGGCCATTTGTCTCTCTTGGTGCTTTGCATGTTTTGTTTTTGTTTTTTTATTTTTTATTCTTGTTTTCTGTTTAGACTGGCATGCGCATTCTTCGTGGCAGCCCTGTTATAGTGCTTGAAACAAGTAAACACTACTAACAACAATGGGCTTTATATTCAGACTGTGAAACGGCACTATTTCTGTTTTATTCTAGAGAGCAACAGGAAAAGGTGTTAGCTTTTTCTTGTTTTTCTTTGTACTGAGTATTTCTTTGATTTGAGATTTTGGTTTGCATTTCAAATTGGAGGTTTTGACTCCCTGCAGTGACAGCTTTTCTATTTGATGGTTCTGTATGTGCCAGGCTGTTCTTGAATGGTTTTCTTTGCTTCTCCAGTGCAGTAGTTCCTCGTTGCCTCTTTTTAACAGACCAGCAAGTCATATGTAGCTAATCTTGCTACACATTCACTATCCTGATAAAACTCGTCTGGTTGCCAGCTCTGTGTAGTCTGAGAGATAAAAGGGAAGCAGTAGGTTCTCCTAACTCAGAAATTAATTGGCCGATTGCACTCATGAATTTACATGATGGCTTGTGTCCAGGGTTTGAATCATACAACATGACTGGGTTTACCCACTGACGACTGCCAATCCATGCTGATACAACTCACATCGTCAATATTTGATGTTTCCACGGAAAGATGAAATTTTGTCAAACTATATGAGATAAAACTTTTAATTCTCCACATGTTTAACATGTTTTAACTTCTGTTGCGCTCCCAAAATGTTTAAATTGTATCGTTTTGGTTTCTTTAATTTCAATTTTAATCTTTGCATTTACTCTCCATGTCAATGAAAACGCTCCTGCATTCACAAAATCCAAGCCTGCACAAGACTCGTCAAAATCCAGCCAGCTCCGGGTTCTGTTAGCCATGTGGAGGTTTGGACGGAAAGGAGGCATTGAAGTGATTCTGTCAGGGAGCTGATGCTGCATGGAAGCTGCAGAATGGGATTGTGGGGGAGGGTTACCAATCAATTCGCTTCACTCTGAGCCACCAGTCGTGCCTTGCAACACAACTGGCCAAGCTCACTCCTTAAACTGTGTATAGGAAATATAATATGGCTCGGTGTGTCTCCCAGGTCTGCTCATGAGCCTTTCAGACACGCAGATAGTGTTTCAGATTGGATGTCTACCATTTATATGTGAATGCATCTATGTAGTGTAGCTGCTTGGTACAAGGCAGCCCCATTTCACCGGTTTAAAATTCAGTATAATTCAAAATGCTCCTTGTTCTTTAGGAGATGTAAAAAGTTGAGCTTCAAGCATTTTGAATATTTGTTTGCTTTTCTGTCTAGTTGAGAAGATGATTACATTTGGTCCTTTGCAGTGTTGATGTGAGACACCGCACAAATAAAAAACATGATTCCTCCTCCACACGTATAATAGAATCTTATGAAACGGAGTTCTGTGGAAAGGGTACGAACAATTAAGAAAAGAAGAACAATGTAGATTACTGCTCTCTTATACAACTCCGATCTTAACATTTCCATAGCAGTTCATAAAACACAGTTATAACCCTTTCCACAGCTATCAACTTCAGGTTACGCTTTGATTGCAGTAGAAATGACATTTCTGCTTGAAGTGCCCCAAGCTGCAAAACAAGTGCTAAAGCTAGCTACTGCTGCCTCTTTTTGCACTTGCAAATAACCGTATAGTTTTACTTAAATAACTAATGCTAAATTAATGTCAAAGTAAAGGTTTATAAAGTAAAGGTTTAAATGTTCCTTGAGCCACTGTGAATTTCTTTATTTGTTAGATTGGTCTGCTTGGTCCCTCTCGGACTAGCCTTTAGCTGATCACCCCTGTCAGTATTAAACTTTTTTTTTTCTAAACTGAGATTGTTCAATAAGTTATTTACTAGAGGTGGGGTTCTTTATGCTCCTCACATTTTGATTTGATTACGAATCAGAGGACTTCAATGCAATTATAAAAAGATAGATGCCTTCATAATCAAACGTCAAGCAAAATCTTGATAAAATAATCTCTCAGACCAAAAAGAAACAGAAAAATTTGCTCTACGCTGCAGTTAAATAGTTTTTATTCAAACAAAGAACCTTTTGGGAACTACATGTGAACAAAACAGGAGTCAAAATGAGTGCCTTGCCATAAGATTATTGGAGCTTTGCCACTGTCTCATCGGTTCCGCACCACACCGCACCAGTTAAGGGCCTGCCCACTGCTGGTACCCACCCCCACTCAGCCCATTTTAGTGGACCATCTTGTTCTTGGTTCCAAGCAAATTGCTCCAAGGTGCTGATTTTGACGTAAGCAGACGGCAGCCATTGATTGGCCAACAGAGCTACGTCACTGGATCACCCATTCAGCAAAACAGCAAACTACATCTGAACCGCCGTTTCCTCTCTGATTGTGTTAAGTGTTAAGTATGTGAGGCTTTTGTTAGTTTCTGGTATGGAAGCTCCAAAAATAGTGCTATGGACCACTGATGAGGTCCAGACCTTCCAAACTTTATTGGCCAATGTTAGGATTCAGCATGAACTAGACAGCGCTACAAGAAATGAGCACATGTACAGAAAGATATGAGTTGGTGCAGCATGGCTACACTGAGACTTATAAGAAGTGCCAGGATAAGTTAAAGAAATTGAAGTTCGATTATAGGGTGATTAAGGACCACAACGAGTGGAGTGGCTCAAACACAATGACCTGTTACCATACCGCCCACTTTGCATTGACTATCCCACCCACAGAGTGGGGAAACGAGTCACAGTGGCAAATCACCTACACCTGAGAAGAACCATTGAAACAAGAGCCAAGTGGAGTCGCACTTATCAATGACAGAAGCTTATGAGGGGTTGGATGTATACTCAGGGATAGATATCTTCTGAGTTTTAGAAGAGAATCAGATCTACTTGTCCCTCTGTTCCTCTCTAACCTCAGCTGTCTCACCCCTTGTTTAGAACTCTGTGAACTTTGTGGATGACAGTTTCCCCCCGGGACCTCATTCTGTGGGCTTCCCCGAGGGCGACAGCGTCCAGCAGCGAATCAAAAAGTGGCTGCGCCCCCACGAGATCAACTGCAGTAACTTCAAAGGTGTCAAATGGTCCGTCTTCCGCACGCCGAGGCCCTCCGACATCCTCCAAGGACTTCTTGGAAACTGCTGGTAAGCTGTTGGAACAAAACACAGCATTCATCATTGTCATTTACGTTGAACATTTCAGAGACAACACACCAACAGCAAGGCATCCCTAAAGTAAAAAGAACGTTTCATCACTGTCCAAGGTTGGAGGAATAAAAAGTGACAACATTTAACACCTTTCACCCTGTGGGTTTTCACCAAGTCTGCTTAAAGTGAATGTTGTTCCCTGAAGTTACATGTGAGGACAATGTCAATAGGTCCGTGAAACAAAACGTGAAGAGAATAAAAGCACGCAACGGAAAAATTGGTTTGTTGAAAAAAATAAAGTTGATTAGATGAACAGAAACACGTGACAGAAAAATTATTCACACCACTGTGGTTCTGGACATACAATCTATCTCTCTGTCCTTGTTCTGTTTGACCTTCGATGTGTGCATTTATGTGTGCTGCCATCTTCCTCCACACACACACGCACACACACACAGGTTTGTTTTGCTATCTTTATGGGGCCTTTGCATTGACTTCCATTCATTTTTCATTCATTTCTATAGCCTAACCATGACCTTTATCCTTAACCTAACCATTACCAGTACATACCTAACCCTAAACCTAACACATCCTCAATTCACACCTTAGTCCTAAACCTAGCCCCTAACCCACCAACAGGACTTCTTCTTATGGGGCCCGGGCTTTGGGCCCCATAAGGAGCAGTTGGTCCTCACAATGCAGTATAAGTTGGAAAAATGGGCCTCACAGAGTAGCATAAACAAGGACACACACACACATAACAATGAGCAGTTCCTCACAAGGTTATCCAAATACAACTTTCCACATCATCACCAGCATGCATCTTATCAAAAATAACCCTCCCCAGAGGCAAATCTTCTCTTTCGCAACAGGATGTAACCCAAATTCTTCCTTGTTGGCTTCATTTCTCACTCGTTTTACACACTAACACTAACACACACAACACACACACCTGACAGCAGAGGAAACCAGCTAGTCGTATTCACCTTTGTCCTTGAATATGGTCACAACAATGGCTGCTGTCACAGTCCTAATCTGATGCAGCTAATTGATTTTTTTTATTGGATTCTTTTGACCAGGTCTATTACCATATGTCTCTAAGAAGCTGCTTACAGATGCATTTAAACTAAAACTTGTGCAAAATTGACTAAGTGAACAGAGTGCAATATAGAAAATGTTATTTTTTGTCTAAAGATTTTTTTTGTTGTTGACTTTTTACCGTTTCATCAATATTACATGGTATTTCAGTCTGCAGTAATTTCCATTTTGAGATTTATTCCTTGTAAGTAGAATCTTTGTGTTCCCAGCTTTATCTCCCCTGTGTAGAAGAATTAGCATTTTCAGATATATCTAGACATTTTAATAACTAATTTCTCTTCCAAGCTAATTAGAAGTTCAGCCCATGCTGCGGGTCGAATTAACAGTAATGGGGAGGTAACCAGAAGGCATAGAAGCTTGACACATCAAATGTGATTGATTTTAAATTAGGGCAAATTATGTAAAAAAAAAATTAAAAAATCAGAACTGCTCAAGGTAGCGGTGTGGAAAATAATATTTTATTACTCCTTTTATAGCATAATGACAGCTTTTCAGTCTTTTTTCTTTTTGTTCTTTTCTTAATGCTTTTGTACGTTCCACACTCAGCGTTTGACCAATCAACATCAAATATCAATCAGCTGATCAGTTTTTAGCGTCACCATTTTTTTCATCAAGTTTAAAACTGTTTTAGGTTCCTGAGTGCTCTGGCAGTGTTGGCAGAGCGGCCAGAGCTGGTGGAAAGAGTGATGATCACTAGGACCATTTGTCCTGAGGGGGCCTACCAGGTTCGGCTGTGTAAAGATGGAACGTGGACGACGGTGCTGGTGGATGACATGTTGCCCTGTGACGACTACGGCTACCTCCTCTTTTCCCAGGTCAGAAGACTGTGGGGGCTCTTTGAGAAATGGTTTCAAAATTACAAAACTACTTACAGAAAAAATAGAGTTCATATTTAAACATCGAGAGCCTCGTGTTTAATGCTTTTCATTGATCTCATTTAATACTTTGACCAGTGTGACCTTGAAAATGTGTGTGATTCATGCTCTTAAAAGCTTTTAATTCATCTGAGTGAACCTTGCTAAAACCCTGAATAATCATCTACTATTTTAATGAGATCAAGTTCGCTCATTGTGTCACTTTTTATCTCAAAGGACTCCACACTGTATCTAATTAATCAAACATTACTGAGCAAATGAAGACTTTAATTATGCTACATAGAAGCATATTGTAGTCAAAGCACCATCTCTGTCTGCTGGTGAGAAATATCAGCCTCTCTAGCAAGTAAACATCTTCCCTGTCTAGATTTCACAGTCAAAGTAGCATTAGAGAAGGGGTTGAGTCAGCCAACAGGTTGACTAGAGATATGCTCAACACTAAAGATAACTTCCTCTTCCACGGAGTCATCTTCACTCAGACTTTTCATTTTTGTCTCTGTGCCACTCCAGGCTCAGAGGAAACAGCTGTGGGTGGCTCTGATTGAGAAGGCCCTGGCCAAACTCCACGGCTCCTACTTTGCCCTGCAGGCGGGGCGTGCCATCGAGGGCCTCGCCACACTAACTGGGGCTCCCTGTGACTCCCTCATGCTCCAGGTCAGCTCCACCAACCCCCGTGAGGAACCCATCGACACAGACCTCATCTGGGCCAAGATGCTCAGTTCCAAGGAGGCTGGGTAAGAGTTTGCAGCCGTACAGCAAAGAGGTATGAACAGGTGCACCATGGGACTCCTGATAAATGTACTGTTTAGCTACAGAAATCACATACTACACATTACAGTAAATAACATACACAATGTTTCAAAGAGGAAACCATGGAGGTCACTTAAAAGTCTTATTTAGAGCCAGTGGAGGAGCCTCAGAGACAGAGATGTCTGAGCAGCAGCATGGGCAGTAGCATCACACATGGAGACTAGATTGTGGTGAAAAGATATATCATGTTTTCATTAAAACCCCAAGTTATGTCCACCTGGTGCCCCCACTTCCCCTCCACGAACTTCAAATTTTTAATCGTGGTTGAAATGCTAATTATCACCCCTTGGTTACCGGTTACTATAGTTACCGGTTAATAAGGTCCATTTGTGAGAAAACACTGACATTATGGAGTTTCTTTCTGTCAGTGTCTGTTAAACTGACGAGGTCATCATACGTTATATGAAACATTAAAAGGGGCTTTTAACATTCTCATTGTATGTTTGGTTACAAGTAGCCACAGATGAATCTACCTCCTTCTCTGACAGTACCTGTATTTGTGGTTTTATTCTCTTTGACATGTCTTCATAAATAAATAAAAACAACACACTCATTTGTCTTCCTGTTAACTTTTATCACACTTCCAGTAACATTAGAATCAAGCAATCATTTACAGTATTGATATTTTATTGCTCCACAAACAAAACGGCACAGATGTTTTGTTTACCAGAAGCTGTGGTAGCTAAGCAACTGCCAGCACTACCAGATGAAGGTCTCCTGTTCACACAAGCACACAATTAAACATCAGTTTTCATTCACCTTTTTGTTGCGACAACGCACGTCAAGCCTGTAGCTTTAATCTGATCAGGTGGTGATGTTCACCTGACCAAACACTGCTGGGAGGCAACGTCTATATGTATCTCAGACAACTCAGCTTTTCTGACTGGTGTTGGTGATCTCTGTCCTGTGACACCAACAAGATGATTTCTGTTCATAATTTCTTCTTCTTTCGGCTTTTCCCTCTGGGGTCTCCACAGCGAGTCATCCTCCTCCATCTCTGTCCTCACTCCAACTACCTCCATGTCCTCTCTAACTGCATCCATATATCTCCTCTTTGTATTTTTCCTGCAGCTGCATTTCTAACATCCTTCTACCAGTATACCCACTGTCCCTCCTCTGGACATGTCCAAACCATCTCAGTCTGGTCTCTCTAGTTATCTTCTAGTTGTTCAACCGGTGCTGTACCTCTGATGATCTCATTCCTATTCTCATCCCTCCTTGTCACTGCAAAGGAGAACCTCAACATCTGATTTATGAATATGTATGTTCAGGTTTATCATTGTTCTCGGCAAGGATCCTCAGGTGTATCATTACAGTACCCTCCTTTGACACATACTTATTCTGATTTAATCTTGGAGGTCCTAATTGCTTTGTTTAAGTTTTGCTTCATTATTACAACAACAAATTGGTAATTCTCTCTAACACAGTTGAACTGTTTCATCAATAGCTGTGTTGATTGTTGAATGTCTAGCTTCATAAAACAAAGAGTTTCGAGTCGAGGTTGATGAGAGCATCTGGGCGAAGATGGACTTGTCCTGTGTCACTTTGAAAGAGCAGGACCCCACAGAGCAGAGCCCCACGCTCATTGGATAATGATGTGGGGGCAGGATAAGCTTCTCAGATAGATTACAGTTTGGTGGGGTGTTGCCCAATGAACTATGAATGAACCGCCCACACAATCACAAACTGAAGTACATATGTACACAAATACCAAGAATTTCTCTGAAACTGTGCGCAGCTGAATAATTTTTTTATGATATTGTTTGTGTTACAGGTTTCTGATGGGAGCCTCGTGTGGAGGAGGCAACATGAAGGTAGACGATGCTGTTTATGAGTCTTTAGGTCTAAGACCTCGGCATGCTTACTCCATCTTGGATGTTCGAGATGTCCAGGGATACAGGTATGGACGAAATGTTTAGTGGGACAGTTTTTTGTTTATAGATTGGCACGTAAGAAAAATATTCTGTACAAGACCAACTTTTGCTACGTTTTATTTTATAGTTATTGAACAAAACAAGTTCAACATTATTAGAATGGGTTAATTCTTTGTTAAAAGAATCTTCTTTAATTTCTCGTACGGTGAATCGACATGGGGCTCGATGCACACCAGCTCAGTTTAATCGCTCTGATCGAGGATGCATTGTAGCTCCACACAAAAGGGGCCTCTTCGGTTTTACCTACAAAGAAGCTGAACATAGCCAAAAGCTTGAGACGTTATTTACCAGAGTCACGCATGACCACTTTAATTTACTGCCACAAAGCAGTCAGAGTGGGAGGCTGAATGACACATGGTCTTCCTCCAAAGGTCTTGAGGAATGCAGAGCAGTTTAGCAACAATAAACCCCTTGCTCTCTCTCTTTTTCAAAGAAATATTTTAAGTACTTGTTTTTGTATTCTGCATTTTTAGGTAGCAACTCCCATTCTGCCTCCAGTCTTTTGTTTTTCATCCGTCTCATCTACTTGTCACTCTGCTGCAGGTTGTTGAGGCTGCGTAACCCGTGGGGTCGCTTCTCCTGGAACGGCAACTGGTCGGACGAGTGGACCGACTGGCCTCAGCACCTCCGTCATGAGTTGATGGCTCATGGCAGCAGCGAAGGAGTCTTCTGGATGGAGTACAGTGACTTCATAAAGTAAGGCTTTCTTGTGCGCGTGTAAGTTAAATGTTTGTGACTGTTAGTTTTTTTGTTTTTGCTTTTCATAACCATGGAAAAAATGTCCATCTTCATTTTATTTATTTTTTAGTATTTTGCTCAACTCTTGGATGCTCAAAGGATCATGATTCGGCTACTTTATTCTATAAACAACTAAGATTGCTCAAAATTGTTGTTTGATGATAGCACATTCTTTTGGATTTAGATTCAGTTAAAGATGGAACTACTTTTAGATTTAAACAGAATCCTATCTCACAGTTTGATGAATAGCTCATGTTTTCAGGAAACTACAGGCTAATTTTGACTTCTGCAGATGCAACAATAAGAACGTTAGAATATAAATGTATAATATCCATCTTAAACCACCCATTCACCTTGTAAGTGTCCTATTTTCTTTTTACAGTACATTTTGCCATCTTTTAGTTGAAAATAAACCTCTAAACAAAGTATTTTTTACCAATAACAAAGGGGCATAAGGGGCTCAGGCTAAAAAATAATTTGAGAATTAATTTCCTACTTTTTTAGATTTTGCCCGTGAACATTGCATATCAACGTGATGGGATTTTAGGGATTTGGTTATAAATCTGTAGAGTCAGAGCAGGTGTCAGAGCTGATTGTTCACTTCTGTATACAAAACAGTGTGGGTGTTACCGGACAGAACACGACGCTCGGTCGATATTATTGGCTCTGGAGAGGCCATAGATCGACCCAGTTGGTCAAATGAGGTGTCAATCAAAGGAGGAGGACCTACACTATTTTGACACGTTATTTAAATTAGAAGCATGAACTCCTGCTATACTCTTTCTTAATTAAACTTTCTACCCTCTACTGGTCATTAACAGCCATAAAACCTTTTTCTGTAAAGCTTTACGCTATCACTGCATTGGTGCTTTTACAGAAATGACTTCACAGTCAGATTCTGGGCTTGATTGAGTTTTTATTTTATTTATTTATTGTTTTTTTTGCTTTTTTTTGCTTATGAAACTTGAGCCGAGGTGGTTGTGACTGCTAATGCAGCACTCACCCCTCCTTGTGTTAATGCCAAACAAGCTGCTGTCAGAAATGCATTAAATCCTGTGACGACTCCCATAAAAGATTTACTCACCACCAGCTGTTTTAAACAGTCGCTGTCAAATCTTTTGCTAACGGAGCGCCAGTGAAGTAACTCAGCATGTTCTCTTATTGTGACACGATCCTAAATGTGACGACGGATTTAATGATCTTTTCTCCATAGAATAAATGTATCATCCGTTGTGTACAGGCAGTGACTGTGTTCCTGTTGTTTTTAGGAAGTCTTTTGATTGTTTCCATTGTTGGTGTTTGGCAGGGAAACCAGCTCATTTGTTTGTTTCATAACAGATTTATTACTGACATTTATTCATGTATAAATGGTGTTTAAAGTTGAAACTGTTGAGCACTGAGACATTTTAGTATGTAACTCCGTACAGAGTTGTTGCACTTTACTGAAGCTGAGCCTGTACACATTGTGAATCACATCCACCCCCCACAGGTACTTTGACTCAGTTGACATCTGTAAGATCCACTCAGACTGGCAGGAAGTGAGGCTGCAAGGCTGCTTCCCCAGCAAAGCCAGCAGCCCGATCACCGTCACAGCTCTCACTGTGCTGGAGAGGACAGCTCTGGAGTTTGCCCTCTTCCAGGAGGGAAGCAGGTAGCCTACCCACTGCTTACCTCCACCCCCCACCACTTTGTCCCCACCCACTGTTTTTCTTTTTGCTGCCTCTCATTCTAACACTTCTAACACCTCTCCAGGCGCTCCGACACAGCTGACAGCCACCTACTGGACCTGTGTATCATGGTGTTCCGTGCCTCCTTCGGCAGCAACAACAAGCTGACTCTGGGGCGCCTGCTGGCGCACAGCAAGCGAGCGGTGAAGAAATTTGTCGGCTGCGATGTCATGCTGGAGCCAGGGGAGTACGCTGTTGTCTGCTGCGCCTTCAATCACTGGCAGATGAATGTCAGCTTGGTGGGAGGCTCACCCACACCCAGTAGGTTGACAGTCACAGCAACATGCTCCGTGTTTGTAGTCACAACACTGATAGAAACTTTTTATTTCTTCGATCTAGTCTCAAGCCCCACCAGTGGAACATCACGACGGCCCAGCCAGGACTTCCCTGGTTACATTCTGGCCATCTACAGCTCCCGACAGGTGATGGTGGAGCAGGTGGATGCCACTCCTACCACGCTAGCTGACGCCATCATTCTGCTCACTGAAAACAAAGGAGAAAGACACGAGGTGAGGCTTTCTCTGCCCTCATCGTTTTGCTGTCTCTCTTTTAACAAACGGTTTCGTCCTTGGAACATAATTTTATACTTTTAAAACAGCAGCTGTTACCAAAGTGCTTAACAGTAAAAATCAATGGGAGTAATTTAATGGAAAAATAAAAGTAACGATAGTACCGAAAATTAATTAAAAGCATCAAAAGAAAAGCATAAAAACACAGAACAATAAAATACTAAATCAAATCACACTGTTTTAAAAGCCAGAGAAAACAGTCGAGTTTTGATCAGAGATTTAAAAACAGAAAGTGAAGTGGTCTGTCTAAAGTTGATGGGCAGATTGTTCCAGAGTTTATGGCCCACGACTGAAAAAGCCCGATCACGTCTAAGCTTCAACCTTGTTTTTGGAACAGCCAAAAGCAGCTGATCAGATGATCTCAGCACCCGAGAAGGAACATTAGATTGAAGTAGGTCAGAGAGATATGAGGGTGCAGGAGAATTTTAAAATCTATTCTGACACGCACAGGGAGCTAGTGAAGGGAGGATAAAACTGGTGAAATATGCTCAAACCTACCAGTTCCTGTTAAGAGCCGAGCTGCAGCATTTTGGACGAGCTGGAGACGTGAAAGAGACACCTGACTGATCCCAACATGGAGTGCGTTACAGTAGTCCAGTCAGGTAGTAATAAAGGCATGGACTAGGTTTTCAAGGTCAGATCTGGTCAACACTGACTTAAGCTTAGCTATCTGCCTTAACTGGAAGAAGCTTCTCAGCAGAACAGAATTAATTTGTTTATTAAACAAAGTCAGAGTCTAAAACCATCCCAAGGTTTGTAACAGACTGCTTAAGACATGGCTCAAGAGAGCCATGGTTTATAGGATTAGAGACAGCGGTAGAGCTATGGCTAAACACAATGACTTCAGTTTTCTGATTGTTAAAACTTAAAAATTTTGAAGCCATCCATGCCTTGATGTCATTAAGACATTTTAACCGAGGATGAATGGAGCAAGAACGATTAGGTTTTAAGGGCAGATAAATCTGACAATTATCAACATAGTGAAAAGAAAGACCATGTTTTCACAGGATAGACTCCAAAGGGAGCAGATAGAGTGAAAACAGGAAGGGATTCAAGAATTGAGCCTTGCGGGACCCCGCAGGAAAGAGGCACTGAAGCAGATACAATATTACCAACCTTAACACAAAATCTCCTGTCACTCAGATAGGAACGGAATATATAAGTTAAGAAAATGTAGTCTGTGTGTTAGATAGCTGTTATCAAAGTATTCAGTGTTTTGGTCAACCAAACTGAACGGGCTGAGTCTATCATCAGTGTTTGCCGTTTCTTCATTCTGTCTTTTTCTGGTTTTCAACAAAAGATTCTCATGTTCTCTTGACTCTGTGGCCAGGGTGTAGCACTTTTTAATCCTACACATGTCTCCGTTTGCTTTGTTAATAATGTTTAGGATTGTAGCCTTTAACAGTTTTTCTGTTTAGTCAAATTTACTGCTTGAACTTCATTTTCCACTCATCCTGTTGCATCTTTTTTTAACAGCAAAATCATAAATAACTTTCTGTGAATTTGCAGTTTGACTGCTGAGTTCTGGGTCTTTGCTGAAATTTGCTCAAGTGGCTAAAATGTACGGTATTTGTTGAAGTTATAAGAAGTATAACAATGAAGTAGCAAAGGGATAGCTAAAAGTAAGAAGAAGGCTAGTTAAAGCAAAAGAAGGATGACACAAGAAACCAAAGATCATCAGAATTGAAGAGATGTCCATGTATGAGGAAAATATTTGTAAATACAGTAAATTTTTGAGCTGTGTTACAGAAAACAGTAGTTCTGTCACTGATCTCCCAAACATTTGAGCTGAAATCTAACACAACGTATGCAGAAGTAAACCTATGACAAAATAATAAAAACAGGAAGTATTATCTTCATACTCAAACCAGAATCCAAACGCTTCTTCCTTAAAAAAAAAAAAAGAAAAGCAAAACAACGTCCCATTTCCTCTTTTTGTCAGTTTGGCAGTGTTTGTTTGTTTCTGTCGGTCTTTAAAACATTTTTTTCCTCAACTGAACCATTTTCAAAGCTTCTGTACCTGCTTTATGAAGAATGATTTTATTTTTTTATGCACTCATGAAGTGATTTCTACTCACCGTGGAAATGGATTGTCCACTCATCCGTGAGATTTGAGCTCCTCAGTGATTGTTTTGTTTCTTTTAATCTTAGTCCTGGGTTTTACTGTCCTCCTAGGAGATTAAAGAGTTTTCCTGAAGCATTTGTCCCACACTGCTCTTTCTTTGCAATTTAAAACATATTCAGGGTAAACCTGAGAATTATGCTGCTAAAGCTTAGAGATTAAGACAAAATATATATGTATAACTAGAGAATTTGCATTTCCTGTGAAAATGCAGTGTGAATGCTTATTGCTGAAGAACTTGCTGAAAAACAGCTGAAATTTGTTAAAAACATGCAGAAATGTAAGAACAAGCCTAAATTAGCAGCAGAAAGCAAAAAGTACACATATTTGCTGAATTAGGTTTAAATAAGCAGAAATGAGCACAGACATTAGGAAATTAACTAAAATAGCTGAAAAGTAGCTGAAAACCAGAAAAAAGCGTAATTTACTATAAGGACTGGGAAAGCGCTTGAAATGAGCTTAAAAAAATGTGGAATTAGCTGACAAAGCTAAATTTAGCGCAAAAACAGATAAAAAGTAGCTGAAATAGCAGAAAAAGCTTAAATGAGTATAACAAGATGGAATTAGCAGAAATAAGTTACTGTAATTCATGCTGAAAGTAGCAGAAATTACTTTTAAAAAACTTGAAAAAAAAAAAATATATATATATATATATACCTGTGTGTGTGTGTGTGTGTGTATGTATATATATATGTATATATATATGTATGAAGTATATTATAAATTGTCTGAAAAAAGCTGAAATTGGCAACAAAAAAGGCTGAAAAGTAGCTTAAAATGCAGAAAGAAGTTTAAATTACTAGAAAGAAGATGAGAGCACATTTTGCTGAATTAGGCTGAAAAAAGTTGCTATGAGTGCAAAAATGTGGAATTAGCTGAAAAGGCTTATATTAGCATAAAACAGCTATATAGTAGCTGAAATAATAGAAAAAAAATGAAACTTGCAGAAATAAGCTGAAAGGAGAGTGACAAGCTGAAATGAGCAGAAATAAGTTAGAAAAAGCACAAAAATGTTGTAGTTAGCAGAAATAAGCTGAAACAAGCACAAAATTGCTGAAAAACAACTGCTGAAATTTGCTGAAAGTAGCTGAAAAAAAAATGTTTACATTTGCACAAGGAAGCTGAAAGAAGCTGAACCGGGACAAAATGTAAAAGGAGCAGTAAAAGGTTGTAAACAGATCTAAAGAAATGAAGGATGTCCATTTCCATGTCCATGTCCACTCTGGGCCCATGAGCAAGGCCCTTAACCCCCATCTGCTCCCTAAAAACAGGTCTCTCTTGAAAATGAGTTCTCGTAGCTCAATTATATAAATGTATACATAAAGGGTAAATGAAAAAAAAAAGTAAAATGAGCTCAATTCATTTTCTGTGAGGAAAAAATGGCAGAAAAGGTTAAATATTTCAAAAGGCTAAAGTTGCACCAATATCAAAAGTCAAAGCAGGATTGATTTATGATTTGTTAAAATAGCACGAAAACTGTGGGACAAGAACTGCATTGAAAACGTACAGAAGAAAAATGGATCACAGTAGTGTGGATAATTCATAAGCATTTTTACAAATATCTAGAAATTTATGAACTGGACTTAAAATGCTTAGGAATCAGGAGAACATGTTTAAGAAAACTTCTTTAGCAGAACATTCTGTATTTTCTGATGTGCAATTATAATAATCCATTACTTCCAGTTCTTGCAGTGCTAATCAAACCAAGTGGACAAATCATTCCTCTGCTCAGCACATGTACATCTCTGTGTTTTCAGGGCCGCGAGGGCATGACATGTTACTACCTGACCCATGGCTGGGCGGGGCTCATCGTTGTGGTGGAGAACCGCCACCCTAAGTACTACCTCCACGTTTCCTGCGACTGCACCGACAGCTTCAATGTGGTGTCCACGCGCGGCAGCCTCAAGACCATTGACAGCGTACCACCTTTACACCGGTACTCCATCCCTGTCTCCATATAATTCTTCAATCAACGTTTTTATATATAAACCCAAAAATATAACGATGTGAGAGTAAGTCTTGTGGGAACATGTGACACAATCACACCTGTATAAACAGTGTGGTTCAACAGGGCCAGTGCTCTGTACTTAATATTCCTCCTCCGGCTGGATTCAGCTGCACTTAATAGCTTCTGCTTCCTGGTCGTACTTATCTCACAGTTGTAGGCAGGCAGACACACTTCCACAGTGAAGCTGTTCACACATCATTAGGTTTTCCTGCATTTAGCTTCTCCTACGTTCATGCAGACAGATAACAGTTCACTTTATTGCAGTTTTAAGACTTTGTCACTCCAGAGTTACAGCCTACAGATGTGAAACTGTTGAAAGCTTCCATTTATTGTCTGTTTTTTCATTATGAGAATAACATCACACTGCAGTTATTTAAAAAATGTAGAATTTAAATTTTACGTTTGATTTTCCTGTATTTTGTTCACTATTTAACGTACTGGCAGTACACAGAATAAATCATTTAGATCAGTAGTTTGACTCAAAAGAAAACAATATCGGGTTCTTCTGCATAGAGTCCAGTGTAACACTTTATTGTCTTGTATTTAAAATGTATTCAATTAGAATTTGATAATAATTAACTTTTTATTTATTAGTAATGAGTTTGACTTCTTCAAATCTGATTTCAAATTTTGCTATTCAAACTTCTGATGTTGGATACAAGCATGTGCTCTTGTAGTCCATCAGTAATGAAAACCATATTTAGAAGTTCTTAGTTCTTTACTTTATCTTGTAATATTTACCCTCGTGTCTGCTCTCTGTCTCCCCCTGCAGGCAGGTGCTGGTGGTGCTCTCTCAGCTGGAAGGAAATGCTGGTTTCTCCATCACCCATCGTCTGGCTCACCGTAAGGCAGCCCAGGCTTCCCTGGGGGACTGGACTCCAACCAAGGCCACCCACAGCCCCCAGCTCACCCCGGAAATTGACGGCCTGCACCGGCCCAGGCCGCTATGACCCCCGCCCCTCTATCTCTCGACCTATAGATTCTAATCCAATTAACTGTCTGAGCGCTGAAAAATAAGGCGAAGGTGGAGACGTTTTGCCCAGAGCCCAAAAATGTAGAGGAAGATGTGCTTTTTGTGTCTTTTTTTTTTATGTAAACATGAAAGTAAAAGCTACACGGGCAGCTCTTGCTGTCCTTTTAACGCCCCGTCAAGAAAGCAATTGTTTTTTTGTTTGTTTTTTTAAATCATTCGCCTCCTGCCAAGTGGACGTGCCATGTCCGGGTGGAATGAGGGAAACATCACCTTTTTTAAAATCATCTCCAAAGATCCAGTTCCAACGACTTTCAGTTCAGGACGTTTATGATTGCTGGAAGTTTCTGCTCCTATGTGTTAATAGTTGTCAACCTCCAGTGAGTTTCAGAAACGACTGAGCCATGTGACAACAAGCCGGTCGCTGAGACACTTCCTCTACAGAATGGGACACTTGAAGTCCTACAATGGTACACGATGAGCCAGACCCATCCAATATTACTCTTTACTTCACAGTCTTACTTGTTTTATGTCTGATCCTTGTGAGGTTGTAGACGAATCCGTTCTCCACACAGTGCTGTCTAACTCAGGACCAACCCTTATTTTGTACATTAATCTAAATGTCATGGCAGGTGCCCAGAAAGCTGCATTCATCATCTGTCTTTGTTTGTGGTGGAAACGCTGCAGGTGTGTGGTTTCGGTGAGGATGCTGTCAGATCTCGCAAAAGTTTCAAACTTCAAAAGTCAGTTTATATCTTTATTGTGCATTCTCTCAGTGTAATAATAACTGGCTGCATTTCGCATTCTAGGTTTGTCACAGCCCGAGAAGAAGGTCAGTGTGTCCATTTTTCACACTCGCGCAGTTCGCCTGTTAGTTGCTGAGTACTGACGGGACTCAAATTGCCACAGGGGGGCTTTTAGAAGCAGCAGCTGAATTTACTTGTGGAGATCAGGGACTACTTTAGTTTGCTCGTGGGGAAGCATAAGCATCTACGCTGCCTCATCCCCCTCCTCCTACCGGCCTGTTAGCAACAGCAAAAGCATCCTTTAAAAAAATAAAATAAAAATCACAAATGATCATTTCATCAGTGCTGGCGGGCACATAAAGATGTGTTGCTTTAAAGAACAGCTGTTTTATGTAGGTCATTGTTTGGGTGAAAGCCATTACTCGTGATGCTTGGGTCCTCACCTCACCATGCCGACGCAGTGGTTTCAGAGAGAAAAGGACCAGATTAATGTGGTACTAAAGGAAAACGTGGGTGACTTTCACTTTGAAGTTGTGTTGTAAGATGTGGGAACACTTGATTCATTCATACAGTTACTGATGGTTTAGCAGGTATTTAGGAGCTACGTCCTCTGGTGGGCTGTGACTCGTGTGAGCTTCGGCCCTCCGGCGTCCCATAGCTGTCACGTTCTGCACTTTTATAGGGAACACGGGGCTGTTCTTTGCGTCATCTTCTGAACAGCTTGTGGGCTGCTCCATCACAGGAGCACTTCCCTAATTAAATCTGACGCTGAGGTAGCAGTACGTATGTTTTCCACAGAAACATCCTGCGTAGACGTCTGTTTGATGTGTGTGGGAGTGTGTGCGTGGTCGCAACCGTGTAGCTGTGAATTTAATGTCTTAACTTATTTGTACGTGTTTTTATTTCTTTTCTTCTCCTGGCCTGTTTTTTTTTTTTTTTTTAATGAATGCTGTTAATTAACTGGGCTCTGAAATGATGGTTAATAATATGTGATGGAGTTTATGGTTTGAGCCCAGGCGGATTAGCGCGACAGGAAATGATTCTGCACTGAAACGCCTGCAGAGACGAGGCGCCTCTAAATGAAGAGTCACTGCTGGGTTCACTTTACGTTCTCGTGAGATTCTGCTTTGTTTTTCTTGTTTTGTGTTGTTTTCTCGTCCTGTTGAGCTCCTGCTGGTGTCCTTGAGTTGTGTTGGCTGTCAGGGCGCCCCCTGCTGCTGAGAGAAGAGATGGTCAGTGCAGCCAACACGATGCCTTTTCTCTCCTTCGTCCTCCGTAAACTGTACAGACTGCAAACCTACACGACAAAACATCACCTCGTTCTTTCCACCTTGTTAAACTTTAAATATAAATGTAGAGACAAAATCAGAATCCTAATGCTAAAGTAATAAACTGAATGTGATGATATATTTTATTGATCTTTTTGGGGGGAGGGGGTTTTTGGGGTGTACAAATATGTATGTTTAGTTTTCAATCTCAGGTTCCAATGGACCAAATAAATTTTTTTAAATTAAAATACGTTTTGTTTGTCATACATTTATTGTTTCTCAGCCATAAATTTCTGTTTTTCATGCAATAACAAAAAGGTAGTTTTGTTCCTTTACGTCTGTACTTGAATTATTAGATAAATTCAATTCTTTTAAGCGTGAAGATTTAAAAGAAAATGTTCTGCTTTTAAATTCAGTGCAAAAACTCCAATGCAGAAGCAATGAAGCAGCTTTCTCATAGTTCCTATAAAAACAGTGTTTGTCACACGGCGTTGAACTAAAACATGCTTGTTATAAATGAAAACTTGCATATTAACATGTAAGTGTTGTTACTGGCATTTTCTTCAACGTGGACAAAATGTGCAGAAGGAAAAAGAAAATGGTGAAAGCCCAGCTCTTTGTGGAGCTCAGTTCAAACTACAACTGACCTGGCATTTTAATAACAATTTTTAAACAATTCGATTGAATTTGTATGTTTTTTGGATTTTACCACAGAATGTTCAATTGACAGTTGATTATGTTACACAATTTTTTTTAAATATCTCAAATTTTAACAATGCTAACAAACCTTACTCCTACTATATTTGTTTTGGTCAAATCCTCCCAGAATACAGAGAGTGCACGCCATACGGCTTTACTTATACAAACCGGATTCCAAAAAAGTTGGGGCGCTAAACAAATTGTGAATAAAAACTGAATGCAATGATGTGGAGATGGCAAATGTCAATATTGTATTCATAATATAACATAGATGACAGATCAAAAGTTTAATCTGAGTAAATGTAACATTTTAAAGGAAAAATATGTTGATTCAAAATTTCAGTGTCAACAAATCCCAAAAAGGTTGGGACAAGTAACAATAAGTGGCTGGAAAAAGGAAATTGAGCATATAACGAACAGCTGGAAGACCAATTAACACTAATTGGGTCAATTGACAACATGATTGGGTATAAAAAGAGCTTCTCAGAGTGTCAGTGTCTCAGAAGCCAAGATGGTAAGAGGATCACCAATTCCACCATTGTTGCACAGAAAGATAGTGCAGCAATACCAGAATGGTGTTACCCAGCGTAAAATAGCAAAGACTTTTAAGTTATCATCGTCAACCGTGCATAACATCATCAAAAGATTCAGAGAATCTGGAACAATCGCTGTGCGTAAGGGTCAAGGCCGTAAAACTCTACTGGATGCTCGTGATCTCCGGGCCCTTAAACGTCACTGCACCTCAAACAGGAATGCCACTGTCAAGGAAATAACAGAATGGGCTCAGGAATACTTCCAGAAAGCATTGTCAGTGAACACAATCCACCGTGCCATCCGCCGTTGCCAGCTGAAACTCTACAGTGCAAAGAGGAAGCCATTTCTAAGCAAGCTCCACAAGCTCAGACGTTTGCACTGGGCCAGGGGTCATTTAAAATGGAGTGTGGCAAAATGGAAGACTGTTCTGTGGTCAGATGAGTCACGATTTGAAGTTCTTTATGGAACACTGGGACGCCATGTCATCCGGACCAGAGAGGACAAGGATAGCCCAAGTTGTTATCAACGCTCCGTTCAGAAGCCTGCATCACTGATGGTATGGGGTTGCATGAGCGCTTGTGGCATGGGCAGCTTGCATGTCTGGAAAGGCACCATTAATGCAGAGAACTATGTTCAGGTTCTAGAACAACATATGCTCCCATCTAGACGTCATTTCTTTCAGGGAAGACCCTGCATTTTTCAACACGATGATGCCAGACCACATTCTGCAGCAATCACAACATCATGGCTACGTAGGAGAAGGATCCGGGTACTGAAATGGCCAGGCTGCAGTCCAGATCTTTCACCTATAGAGAACATTAGGAGCATCATAAAGAGGAAGGTGCGACAAAGAAGGCCCAAGACGATTGAACAGTTAGAGGCCTGTATTAGACATGAATGGGAGAGCATTCCTATTTCTAAACTTGAGAAACTGGTCTCCTCTGTCCCCAGACGTCTGTTGAGTGTTGTAAGAAGAAGGGGGGATGCCACACAGTGGTAAAAATGGACTTGTCCCAACTTTTTGAGATTTGTTGATGCCATGAAATTTGGAAACAACAGATGTTTCCCTTAAAATGATACATTCTCTCAGTTTAAACTTTTGATCTGGGATTTGTGTTCTATTCTGAATAAAATATTAGATGTTGGCACCTCCACATCATTGCATTCAGTTTTTATTCACAATTTGTTTAGTGTGCCAACTTTTTTGGAATCCGGTTTGTATTTTAAATCAAAATATTTTCTTCTAAACATTTTAACTTATGCATAAAATTCTAGTAATGTACAAATTGTTATGAATGACCATAAGAGTCTTCTGTTGCTCATGGTTTAAAATCCAGCTTTTCATTTTTGCACAGCGACTGAGGCTTAATATTTAGCTGCATACTTGTCTGCCTCTATAAGGTTTGCTCTCAGGGAGTGAGAGACACAGGTGTGTAGTTACCGAGGTGATGAGTTTAACACTTCTATTAATCTCGGTTCCCTTCTCACTTCTTATAGTTTATTCATCAAATTGTTGGCTTTTTTTTTTCTTGGATTATTACAAAGTTAATGAGGTTTTGAGCACCAGTAGCCTTGGCACCGTATAAAATGTTTCCTGATAATAGTGTGACTGTTTATGAAGCAGTCACACTATTGTGATCCATTTTTCTTTTGTACATTTTTCAGCATCTTTCTCGTTCCACAATTTTTGTTTTCTTTCAATATATCATGTATCAAAATGTTCAGCTCGTTCAGGACAATCCTGCTATAACTTTTGTTTTTTCTCTCTCTCTGTACTCCGGTGAAGTCAGACGTGTCTCCCTGGGCTCCCCCCCACCCTCCACTTCCCTGCTTGCACTTTTTTGTCCTGTGAACCCTTAATAAGCCTCTTTTTTTTTCTGCATACCTCTTAAATCGAAGGATCAGCTTGTCTCTCAACAAAATTGATCAACTTCTCTAACTTCTCTTCTTCTAATTCTTATAAATACTTGCAAGACTGAGCTGAACACAGCACCTCAGACTGAAGAAGTCTTTCGGATGAAAGACGAAACGTTTCTACTTTTTTTGTTTTGTTTGTTTTGTTTTTTGAATGTCCAGACAACCAGGCTTAACTTTTTTAGATATTTTTTATACCTTCTCTCCTCATGTTTTTTTCCCTTTTGTCATCTAAGCAAAATATTATTCTGAATAAGAATAAGAGGGCTGCACGTTCTTTCTTTTTTTATAGCAGCAGCTTCGTGCACTCCGCCCATCTTTCGGACGACTGTACGTACATGTTCTCGTTGTATCTCGGTGCAATGATAATGAAGCTTATTCTGATTCTGGTGCAACTTTAGCTTTTTTAAATATTTAGCCTTTTCTGCCATTTTTTTTCTCAGAGAAAATTAATTGAGCTCATTTTACATCCTTCAGATGTCTGTCTGTTTACAACCTTTTACTGCTCCTTTCACATTTTGTTCTGATTCAGCTTCTTTCAGCTTCCTTATGCAAATTTTAACTTTTTTTCAGCTACTTTCAGCTGTTTTTTCAGCTGTTTTAATCTCCTTTTAGATTCTTTCTGCTAACTACAACATTTTGTGCTTCTACTTCTTTCTGTTAATTTCAGCTTGTTATGCTCCTTTCAGCTTATTTCTGCAAATTTGCAAGCATTTTCTGCTATTTCAGCTACCATTTAGTGGTTTTATGCTAATTTTAGCTTTTTTAATTTTTTTTTAGCTAATTTCACTTTTTTTACACATTTAAACTTTTTTGAGCCCAGTTCAGCAAAAATGTACTCTCTCCACTTCCTTCTGATAATTTAAGCTTTTTTCTGCTTTTTTAGCTACTTTTCAGCTTTTTTTTTTTTTTTTTTTTTTTGCTCATTTTAGCTTTTTCTTGATATTTTCCAGTATTTTGTGCTCATTTCTGCTTCTTTCAGCCTGACTGGGAAAATGTGTTCTTTCTGCTGATTTCAGCTTGTACATTTTCAACTAACATTTTAGCATTTTTGGAGCTAATTTCAGCTGTTTTCAGATTAATTTAAAATTTTCCTGGTGATTTCTACTACTTTCAGCTAAATTGTGCTAATTTCAGCTTGTTATGCTTCGTTCAGCATTTTGCTGCTATTTCAGATCCTATTTAGCTGTTGTAATACTAATTTTAGCTTATTCAGCCAATTCCACATTTTTTAAAACTCATTTCCATTTTTTTTAGCCTAATTAAGCAAAATTGTGCTCTCTAGTTGTTATATACCTGGATGACTGAGAAAACAAACTTTGTGTTTTTGAAACCATTAGTGAAAAGGCCAGACTTCAGGGGTATCTGAGGCAGGCTTGAAACACAAGAGTCAGGGTGGCTTCTGGGTAATACCAGATGGCTAGGCCTCAGACTGACGAAGCCTCTTGGATGAGGGGCGAAACGTATCTTTTTAACAAAAAAACGAAGTCCAGATGACATGATTCAACCTTTTTTGTTGTTATATACCTGGATGACTGAGAAAACAAACTTTGTGTGCTCTCTAGTCTTCCCTCTGGTATTGAGTTTTCTGCATTTTTTTTAGCTATTTTTCAGCTGGGGTTTTTTTTGTGAGTGTGTGTGTGTTTGTGTGTGTGCATGCTAATTTTAGCTGTTTTAAGCTAATATTCTAATTTTTGAGCTAATTTTCTAATTTTTGAGATAATTTCTACAAATTTTAACCTAATTTGGTAAATTTGTTTTTTCTTTTGCTAGTTTAGGCAATTGCAGCTACAGTTCAGCATGTTTTTAGCTAATTTCAGCTGTTTTTCTTCTGCAATAAGCATGCGCACTGAATTTTTGCAGGAAATGCAATTTCTCTAGTTTCCAGTTGATTTTATTATGAATATTTACCTCCTCCCTCCCTTTCCCTTTCACAGCTTCTTCACAGCTTTCTCTCTCCAGCCATTAGCCCCCAGATGACAGCAGCATTCCAGTCCTCAAACCTTCCTGTCTCCAACTTTAGCGCTCATAAAGGGGGGGTAAAGTCTAACCAGAGCCCAGCAGACAAACCAGCAAGGCTTCGCGAGGTGGTGACGTCTAGCAGAAGGAGCTGTCAATCATCTTCCTCATCTTGCACCAGAAACAAAACGGGACAGAATAATCCAGGAGCGACTCTTCATCTTGAGACAAAGGTATGGCTGCTAAGTTGTCACATTCTCCTCTTCTAAGGGTCTTGTGCACGCCGATGCAGGGTGAGAATGTGATAATGCCAAGGCCAGCATGGCATAGGAGGTACTCCATATCCTGAGAGGCTGAATGGTGAACACATCAACGTGAGGAGGAAAATAAAGTCACCCCTCATGGGAAATCTGTTCATTATCTCTCTGGAGCTCTAAACATATGAAATAACTCATTAGAATTGTTTTCTTTTTTTCTGCATATGATGAGGTAAAGTAGCAACAGTTGGTGTGAAAAAAAAAGTTTCTTCAACAAGAAAACTTTATTTTTTTATAAAATTGCTACAATGTAGAAGTTTTCAAGAGTTGAGCTCTTTACAGTGAACATTATTTAAGGGATTGGTGTTGACTTGCATGAAATCTAAAGTCTAAAGACAGCCTGATGAACGTTGTGTGAGCCACTAACAGATGATCACGTTTCTTCTCACCCCCCCAGTCAAACGCCTCTCGGTAAGGTCAAGTCAATAAATCATCTGACACATTAACAGTGGCATGAGGAGCTGGGGGGGGGGGGGGGGGGGATCAGTTCAGTGGGTTGGAGGATTTCTATCAAGGACAGAAGAACAGAACAAATGGAGCCACAGGCTGGGGGAGATTTGCACAATTCTCCTGTCATGACTGTGTGTGTGTGTGTGTGTGTGTGTGGGGGGGGGGGGTATTGTGTGAATGCTTAAAACATTCACACAATAACCCAATAAAGTTATGTCAGGTCATCTGGACGGTTTCATTTTTTTGAACAAGAACATCAGAGTTCATGCTCAATTGTCTGACTGATGAAGTCCTTTGGATGAAGGATGAAATGTCTCAACAACAAAAAAGAAACTGTCTAGATGATCTGACTGACCTTTGTTGGATTCTTTACCTGGATTATTGAGCATGAACTTTGATGTTTTGAACCACTTTGGCCTTGGCTGCCTCAGAGGAGTCAACGGGGGAGAGGGGGGCCCCAGAAACCTTATCACCAGCAAACTGGTTGATCCACTATGTGAGTAAGCCACTTATGGGACTGAGTTTGTTGTGGCTCCTCGGACTGATGAAGTCCTTTGGATGAAGGGTGAAACATTGCAACAAAAAAAGAAACTGCCCAGAGGACCTGATTTAACTTTGCTAGATTTTTAATCTGGATTATTGAGCATGAACTTTGATATTCACACAATAATTTCTTCCGTACGTTTTTTTTTTTGGCACGTAGCTCATTCCACATTTTCGATGCTATTTCAACAACATACATTTTCGAACATTTAGCTCCTTCAGGACATTCCTGCTGTGACTTTTGTTGATGTACAGTTTTTACTTTTTGAAATAGCCATGTTTTTCTCATTGAAAGTGAACGGAGCTCTCTTCACATCCTTCAAACCCTCTGTGTTGTTCAAAACCTGTACTGCTCATTTCAGCTTCGGTTCTGGATCAACATTTTTCAGCTTCTTTCTGCTAATTTCTTTGTTATGCTTCTTTCAGTATTTTGGCTACTTTTTAGGTAATTTTCTGCTAATTTTAGTCTTTTATCTATTGTTTGTTTTTGCTTATTTATGCCTTTTGTGATTCAAATATTTAAACTTAAGCTTTTAAGCTACTTTTTTGTAAATTTAAGCTTTTTTTTTTGTTGTTGTTGATAATTTCAGTTTTTTCTTTGTGCTAATTTTAGATTTTTTTGTCATCTGTTCAGCCTCTCAGCCCATTTAAGCTTCTTCTGCTCATTTCTACTGCACTTCTGCTCTTTTCAAGGATTCAAGGTTCTTTATTTGTTATACACACCACATGTGGTATATGTGGTGGAACACAGGGTCCCAGTTTCAGCTTTTAATACACATTTCTGACATTTTTCTGCTGCTTTCCACTTTTGTTTTCCTGTTTTCAGCAAATGTCAGCTGTTTAAATACAGCTCGCATTAGCAGTTTAGCCACAAAACCTTTTCAGTTTTTCGGCCTGGTTTCAACTTGTTCAGCAACTTTCAGGAAAAAAAAAAACCCAGCAATAAACATTTATACTGCATTTACACAGGAAATGCAAGTTCTCTAGTTACTTTTCATTTCGAGAAGGAGCCACATGCGCTCACAGACACTAAATGAGATGTTGTGGTTAGATTAAAAGTGCTATTTTTTTTATATTTCTTTCATTCTTTAAAGGGGAGAATTAGCCACAGCATGGCGTCCCAGACCCCAGCACTCCCACAATCCTTCACTCCAGGGACTGACAGCGTCTTCTCTGACCTGTCTGGCTTCTACTCTCTGGACTCCAACGTGCCTGGACTCTCTAAGGTGATTCTCAACAAGCTCAACATGAAGGACTATGGAGAATACAGGTAAGAACTGCTCAGGAACAACTACTGACGTTTCGCCTCATAACGTCAAATGTTTCCTGCGGGCGTTCTAATTCTCTCCTGCTGCCAAAAGGCGAAGGCAGAGCGATGACGTTTTCTCCTGTCTGCTTGTGTTGCACATAAGGTTTGTTTGGGTGGCTGTCTGTGATCAAACTAACTCATGAACCACCAGAGGAATTTTAGTAGAACCTTCAGGAAGTTATCGTTGGAAGTACAACTTTCTCTTTCAAGGAATTCTACTTTTTTTAATTGTTCATTTTTCATCAGGGCTGCTGTTGAGGGAAAGACTAAAGGAATCTCATTCCGCAACTACAAGGAGATGTTCCAGAAGATGGAAGAAACCTTCACGTTCTGCACCGGCTGCAACAAACTCCCTGAACATCTCAGTGAGGGACACTCCCTGAAACGCTGTGTGAAGTGAGTGCAAAGCCCCCTAGTGAGGAGTAATGCTTGCTCTGCACAGACCACTCTTGGCCCTCTTTAACGCAGCCAGTGGACATGACAGATAGCATTTCTGCATTAACAGACTAACATTGATGAGTGCTGACAGAATATTTTGAGCAGCCGATACCTCCACCTTCATCTCTCTGTCATCACACAGGCAGGATGTTGGTTTGTTTTCCAATAGCTGTCATGTGTGAGGCATTACCAGGTGCCTTTGTATCAGCAGCACAATGATAAGTGACCAAAGTGTGGATAGCACTACAGTGGTGGACAATGGCCAGTTGCAAATATAGCAGAGTCCCTGGCTGCGATTCACCTCTCTTTTAACGCTGAATTAATAGCAGCTAAATGCAGAATGTCACATCATTCTCTGTGAATGTGTTGAGAATAATGGGAAAATACAACAGGTTGTATTTATATAAGTGTACTTTTGTTATCATCCTTTTGTTTTTCTTTCTGGCGCTCTGTTATGTACAGTATGTCTTCCTCATAAATTCTCAGCTGCTGCAGCCTCTAAAAAAAAACTAAAAAAAACCCTCTAAAATATAAAAGCAGACAAGTAAAATCTTCAAGCCCTCTAATGTCAAAATTCTTACCCACAAGCCAACAGTTCCTTATGCTGATTTGACATCTTTTTAATGATTTCATGTGATTAGTATTTAAATATTTTATTTTTCTTTTTACCTTCATTTTATCTACTTGTTGGCCTTTTTGGGGGGGTGGGGTGGGGGGATTAACGTGCCCAAAGCCCACAATGATGGACTGTGTTAGCTGATAGATTAATTTTGTCACAACTGGCTGATGCTGGTGAACCCAATTGTGCAGGCAGGCAAGGACTCAGGATGTATATATAAAATAAAGGATTTATTAACAAAACATAGAGCTGACAGGGCAGCAAAACAAACATCAAATGATCATAGGGTACTCATGAGACAGACAGGTAAACACCAATTAGACCAAGTGGAGGCACCTGTGAGTAATCACAGATGCCAGAGAAAGAGACAGAGGATGCAAGACATGAACACGACACAAGATGGGGCTAGATATTAAAGAAACACCAACCCTATAAAGAGAATCAAAGGATCAGAGGAAACACAGACATAAACATGACACCAGGGGCAAAACCACAACTTGTACAATTTTATGTAAAGTTTTGGTGCACCTGGTTTCAAATGATTGCAAAAGTAATGTAACCGAGTCTCAAAGTGCTCCAAGTGCTGCTGATCGTTGAACCTTTAACCAAGCACATTACCTGGTTTGTTATCTGGGTGTCCAAATACTTCTTTTAAAAGTCTTCAGTTAATCCAAAATGCTGCTGCCAGAGTCTTAACTGGAGTTAGAAGGAGAGATCATATCTCTCCAGTTTTAGCTTCTCTCCATTGGCTCCCTGTCAAATTCAGAATTGAAATCAAAACCTTACTTCTAACCTACAAAGCCCTCAACAACCTAGCTCCATTTTTTTAATTTGAGCTCTTATTGTTCCATATTTTCCCAACAGAGCACTTTGCTCTCAGACTGCAGGCTTACTCGTGGTTCCTAGAGTTTCCAAAAGCAGAATGGGAGGAAGATATTTTAGTTATCAGGCTCCTCTCTTGTGGAACCAACTTCCAGTTTTTGTCCGTGAGGCTGACACATTGTCCAGTTTTAAGACATGCGATTATTGACCTGCCATTGTGTATCTGTTCCTCCTTCCTGTTCCTCTCAAATCCAGCTTGTAGAAGCAGATGGTCGCTTGTCCTGAGCCTGGTTCTGCTAAAGGTTTCTTCCTCATGAAGGAGTTGTTCCTTTCCACTGTTGCCTTCATGCTTGCTCAAGATTAGAGTTATGTGATGAGATAAACTCAAAGCAGTCTGCTCCTCAGAATAAATAATCTTAACATATTATTTATACATGAATGTTTCTGTTCAGTGCCTTTATACGACTTCTCTTGTGACTTGGCTCTATATAAATAATATGAAATGAATTGATTTCCTAAATAATCCGTACAAAGAGGTTACAAAATTTTACCTAACGTAATCAGTCATTTTACTATGTCATAAGGAAAAAATGATCAAGTCTGTATGTTGTGACTTTTTTTTCTTAAATGAGAAAAATCTAAAGAAATGTATGCATGAATGTTATTTATGTTTTCTAAAACAACACAGTTTTTATTGTTTAGCTGGTTAGCTATCTTTTTATACTGTATATTATTGCCAACAAACTCCCATTTCTGAGGAGAGGCGGATTTGTACTTGCACAAGACATTTGAAGTCGTAGTTTAGATCTTTTTGACTGGAATCCTGTGGAAATGTTATAAACAACATCTTACCTGTTGTAAAAAGCTTTTTGAACAATCTTTGTTTGAAGAATAATTGTTTATTTTTGACCATATTATCAAAATGTCATAGTTGTTCAAGTGAACGCTGTTGCTTATACATTTACACTACTGTCCATTTTACATAAATATTTTTACATGGAATTTTTTTGGTTTTTTTTTTTAATTGTTTTTGCTAGTGAAAATTGCAGCAGTGGCAGCTAGCTGTTGCACATTTGGTGCAACTTGGGGAGGTGCAGCAGGAATATCATAATTACTCTGCCTGAATAACCGTAAGAAGAAAAAGTTAAATTGGGAGTTTTTACAAAATAGTGTTTGCATAAACAGTTATGAAACTGTTGACGTTGGAGTTGGTTTAAGATAGCAGAAATTACTTTGGAACTGGCATATCTGGTCTGAGTTTATTTTAAAAGTTAATTACAGCAGAAAAGTTATTAATTATTCATAACATTTCCAAAGAACCTGCTTAAAAAACCAATCCTTTTACTGTAATTCTTCTAGATACTGGTTTAACTAGTTTCCTTCTACTTTCACATACACACACAAAGTTATTAAAGTTAAACCAGCAGCTGCAGGAAGTGATGTTTAGCTTTATCTTAGAGTTGGAGCTAAATCCTCAAGCTAGCATGATGCTAATGGGAATAATAATGCTAGCTGCTAATTTTTGTTAGTACACCAGTGTAAGCTTTGTGTCGTGGTATTTTTGTAAAGAGTAGTAGTTTAGTCATGTGAACTGGTGCAACTTGTATTTATTGTTACTTTCTCTTTTGTTTGTTCTCTCGAAGGTGTTTGAATGTTTACTACTGCACTAAGGACTGCCAGAGGAAGGACTGGCCTCAGCATAGAAAGGTCTGCAAGACCCTGCGACTGGTGGCCATTGACAGACTAGTGGAGTGGCTGATGTTCACAGGTAAAGTGTAGAGATGTTCAAAGAAAAGCAAATCAGAAGGATTAAATGGCTTATTTTAACATTTGGCAGCACAAATTAAACAGCTGGTGAGTAAAAAGAGAAATGGGCTAATAACTAGCCATTTTGCATCGTTTCGAGAACTATTTGTCGAACATCACTTTAAAAGTCACCAGACTATTCCTTTAAGGCAGCACATCAAACTTTTTCTTGTATTTGCTTTCCATAACGTCCGTCAGAAATTCTGATTTTTGACTCTTACAGGAGATCTCCCATTTCCTACTGAGACGTGGTCAAAGACAGCTGCTGAGGTGAAGAGCTGGGACGACTGGCTTCCCATGCAGGGAGACCTCGCTCAACATCTGGACAAACTCCTATCTAGTGCCCACATGGAAACGCTTTGGAAGAATGTCAGCAGACCGAAGCCCGATGATGATGATTTGAGACAGTCCTTGTGGCGAATTCAGAGCGAGTTTCTCTCTCGGGTTCTCACAGTTGGAATGGCCATACAACACTGTGGCTTGGACCCGTTTGCAAAACCCATCACGGTTCACCTAGCAGGGGCGTCCCACAGCGAGACAATGGGAGCCAGACTGACTGATTACGATGAGCTGAACCACATGTTCCCAGGACACCAAGGCATAGAGGTAGTGATGGTGGGACCAGAGGTGGTGGATGGCCCCATCGTGAGACCTCCTTTGAGAGCCTTTGGCCCCAAGCAGAAGGTCTTCCTCAGCGCCTACAAAGGTCTCTACCACCAGTTCTGGGAGGATGTGTTGGAGAAGGAGGAGGCCGCCAAACCAGACCTGGTGGTTGGATTTCATCCAGGTATGAACTCAAACAAACCTGCTCAACAAATCTTTTATCAAAATATTTAGGGAGCCCTGACTCATTGTGCTGCTATGAATAGAAGCAGTTCAGCTGAAGTGGTCAGCTGTCTCGGGGAAACCGAGCCTCGTCTTCCTCTACTATAACCTTTCTGTGAGAACAGAGAGCATGGGAGATGTTTACCTCATTCAATCTGGCCTATTCATTAGTGCCAGGCTTTTAAGTGAGGATTTGGGTGATTTATGGCAGCAGCTGGGAAAGAGTTTGGCTTGCAATCATCGGACTCAGCATAATATTAAACTGCCCTTTTTAAAGGGGAACCTTGGGCCTTCGTAGGCAGGAAAATCGATGCAAATCATTGATTATGATGCAGTCTGAGAACTGAGCCCTTCATTTCTGAATTATGAATACAAGGTAATACATTAGAAATACAAATAAAAAATAATTCAAAAGTAGGTTTATTGAATGGCACATTAACTGTTCCCCTCCCAGTCTGAATATGTCCTTTATACCCTTCATCCAGCAGACCAGCGATAAATCTCCAACCCAAATGCACCAATAACACCCTGCTGAGTTATCACCTCAGGCTCCGCTGGGGCTAAATATACAGGAATCAGTCATCCAGCGTGTAAACTTGCCCCAGAGCCTGTCTGCATTTCACACTGCAAAGCTGGCAGAGCACTGCATTATGACGCTCCGTAAGTGATAGGGGAGCCGTGGCAGCGTGACGAAGGGAATATAAAAGACTGTTTTCATGTGTGAACGTCACTGGGGGAAAATGGTTTTGGTGTGGGGAAATGGGGAGATATGGTGTGAAAAGAAGGTAGCTGGAAGCTTTTACATTGGATCTTGATGTGGTCTGTCATCCCAAAACTGGGACCTTTCTTGACCCCGACTCCTAATTCTTATTCATGAAACAAATTTTCATCACTCTAAGGAACATGTTTTGCAGAGCAGGAAACAAAAGAAATCAATGTTCACTTCGTCAACCGTACCTCCCAAATTAACACTGGTGCCGAGCAATTATTACCATCATTAACAGACAGACTCTTTTTATTCCACCTCATGTTCTGGCTGTCTAAACCTCCAAACACTTAACTCCTGTTAAATGTTTGAACATGTCTGGAAGCATAACCTCTGGGATGATATTACCTCGGCGAGTGCTCGTTTGTTTGTCTAGCAGCCGGGTTCTGATCAGCCGGAGGATGGTCGAGCTCCTTCTTGTTTGAACATGTAAACAGTATGTTGCAATAGTCCAAATGAGAAGAAATAAAAGCATGAATGGTCATCTCAAGCTCAGTTGTCGACAGACTTCTCAGTTTTGAGCTGTTCCTGAGATGGAAGTACCAGTTTCTGGTTTGTTGTTTTATGTGTTGCTCAAAACACGCCACAGAATCAAAAATGACACCTGAGTTTCTGAGGTTAGACTAGAAGAAACTAAACCAACAAAGAACTGCTTAATTTGAAAAATGTTGTTTTCAGGAACAGTAATCAGAGTTTCAGTCTTATCTATATTGAGCTGCAAGTAGCTGTTACTTAACCATTGATTGATAGTCGCCAATAAATTAGCAGAAGACGTTGATCTTTGGAACTCACTTCCCTTGAATGAACTGTAAAGCTGGATATCGTCAGCATACAGGTGATAGGGTAAAATCTTAAACTGTTAAATTATCTGCTTAAGATGAAGAATAAATAAGATAAAAAAAAAATAGGTCCTAAAACTGTGCCTTGAGGTACACCACAAGACAAACCTGGTGGTGTTCGACATAATTCCATTTACAAAAACACTGAAACTTGAGTCAGACAAATCTACCATAACAACTAGTCTGTTTGTTTTTGCTCCTATAAGATGGATATTTAAACCGGATGGATTTGTTTAATTCAGTTGAAGGGCAAACAGCATTAAAAAGGAAAAATCAGACAACTCAACTAAACAGATTCAAAGAGAGACATCTGTCAGTTTTTATGCAAAAAGATTAAGCTCATTTTGGTTTTAGCCTGACTGCTGCAGGGCTCAGACAGTGTCATCAATTTTCATTTCAGTTACAACAATAATTTTCCAGTTCAGTTGAAGTTCTCGGGTAAAGCTAGATCTGTCATACTGACCGATAATATGAAACGCTCACAAAGACTTGTAGTCTATCACTACTAACTAGTCAGCTGGACACTAAACAAGGGCAACTGGTTTAATCTGAAGAGAGGTTTCTCTTTTTCTGGCCTTTGTCAGAATCAGTGTCACTCATCAAGAAATCCTAGAGCCCTGTGAGAGCAGTACAGACACTGAAGAGCCCTTTGGTGCCTTAAACAAAGCTGCTTTGAAAGATGTAGTTTAAATCTTTGGAAATTTTGTGAAAAAGTTATGAACAGTTAATATCTTACCTGTTGTAGATGGCTCTTTGAAAAACCTTTGTTTGGAATAGGTTTGTAGTTTATTATTGCCTGCTGCCAAAATGTAAGCTATTGATTGTTTGATTGATAATATATATAGCGTTAGCTCCAGAGCTAATAAATTACACATCACAAATTGATCATATTTGATTGTTTATAGTCGTATATTGTGCATATGGGGGCCGAGGTGGTGTAGAAGCAGGGCAGCCAATTCGGGACTTAAAAGTCCCAGGTTCAATCCCCAGTCATTGCACATCTCGTGGTGTCTCTGAGCAGCACACCTCATCCCCAAATACTCACTGGGCGCCTTTAGTAGCTGCCCACTGCACCACCTGGTGGATGGGTTAAATGCAGAGCTCCAATTTCCCCATTTTACGGGAACATACAATGATGACAATACATAACACATTACTATTGTATTATTATAATTACTAATACAAACAATAACTTTATTGTCACATTACTTTAGCCTTGTCTCCTTCTGTTTCTGTCTCCATTACAACTGTTGTACATTATCGCCCCAGAATGCATTGTTCTGGTAAAATAATGGTGACATCATTAGATGAGAAATGTAATAAACATACACAGTTTTTAAATAATTTGGAGGTTTTACAAATCCCAAACAACAACTTCTAGTAAAATAGAGAAATAACATATTAAGGCCAATACGTGCAAGTAGTCGGCGATTCCTTTACAGAATCCCTGAATGTGTCTGCATATCTTCAATGTATTTATTTTTTTAATCAGGTTTCCATGCCAACCAGGGTCTGGTTGAAGGTTGGCTACCTTCTCTTCTGCTGCTCAGGGACTATAACATCCCCTGTTTATTCACCATGTACAGGTAAATCACATCTCTGCATCTTTAATCGCTCATTTCATTGTCTTCAGTAGAAATATCATTCACCATCAGCACAATCTTTAATAATGGGTAATAATGGAGTTTTATTGCCAGAAGGTGTCATTACCTCATTTTGAACACCATCTGCTCACTCCTCCAGATAGTTCGTTGGAAGTGTTTAGAAAAAAACGGGCATTTTGATAATCTCCAACTTTCCTGTCCTCGCAGTGAAACAGAGCTGAGGTATTCCCTGCAGATCCTGCTGGAGCTGGAGATGCACATCAGACAGAGCGGACCCAGTCCGTTCACCTCACAGAAACCCGAACAGGTCCAAGCCTGTCCCAACAAACCCCCCGTCTACTGCAACTCTTATTACGTCTGTTTCCAGGGGCTGCTGCCGCAGGAGGACTGCGAGGGGCCAGGTGCACAGTTAACAGAGCACCATTAAGGAAAATACACAGATTTTACATTATTAGGTTATTTTTATGGATGGAGAGGGGAGGGGGGGGGTGCATTTAACTCTGTTTCCACACAGACACTGAGGCTGATGTTTTGCTGAGAATTTCCTCATCACAGCTTCAGTGGTGAAACAATAAATTAATGAGGCAGATTAAAAAGGAAAAAAAAAAAAATACCTCTGAGCTAATTATTATTTTTTTGGATTGTGTCACCAGCCGGCCACAAGGGTTTCTCCTCATCGGTGCCCTGAGGTAACGCGACCGTGGGATGAAAGGAGTCGTTACCGTGCATACGAATGAGATCAAAATGAGTTCTGTCATCACGCCACGGCTTTCTGTGATTTATTCTGCAGAGAAAAACATGTCCAAATCTTTACAACAGCTGCATGGAAACAGATCATATGCATGCTAAAAGAACATGATGTGAAATGAGGCAAATTATACACGTGTTGTTTTTTGTTCGTTTTTCTGGATTAGTGTGAATTGTGTTTTAAAAGCTGGAGGATCCTGATCAGAGCGAACATTTAGACACCACTGACTCTGTTCATTAGTTGAAACAAGACATTGTAAAAAAGTTGTTATAAGGGGTCAGAGGAGCATTCTGACTTGTAATAAATGTTTTTTTTCTTTCATTTTGTCTATTTGATCATCTATTTTATTTTGGAGTTAATAAATAAATTATTTAAAGACTTATCACTCGCCTTCTGAATATGTCCGACTTTTAAACTAAAATCCTCTTATGTGGAGAAATGAAGAATTGAAAGCAACATCGCTATATTGATGGAGGTCACGTTCAAAGTATGGATTATGAATTACTCTCAGCTACTACCACACCGAGCTTTAGCTTTATACACGTCAAAACAGCCGAGTTATAGCTATTCTTGTGTTTTCTAAGGTCAGTTGGCTGTAGCAGCTATCCTTATTTGGGTTGTCCCAAAAAGTGAATCGGTTGTAGACATGCATCTAATGCTTACTTCCTGGAATACATTTTATCAAAGTTTATCCCGTGGTCCAGAAGTTATTTTGCTAACAGACAGACATTATTGACTCCAATAGTTAATCTCACTGTTTTAAACAAAGATATTACATAATGTGTAGTGCTCAAAGTATGACTTGGGGATTAGTTTCAGCTACTACACCACACTATTTAAAGTGTAACGTCTGTAAAGATGACTGACTTATAGTCATCACAGCATTGACTGTGGCGGCCACAATGATTTGGGTTGTCTCCAAATGTTATTCAGTTGCTGATGTACACCCAATAATTAACTTCTGCAAGTTTAATTGAAATTTGTCAAGTGGTTCATAAGATATTTTGCTAAAAGACAGACACGGTTGATTCCAACAGTTAATGCCAAAGTTTTGACCAAAGATCTTGCGCAGTGAGTACCTCGTACTGGTTTTCCACCCGTTCAGATGTTTCCACACGTGTGCATTTCTAATTACGATTAAGGGGCTATGGGACGCATAAATGGGCATAAAATCTTAAATTTTCAACATACAAGAACAAATGACCTATCAAAACGTTTGTTTATTAACCCCCTGTGCGCTGAAAATATAATTGTAGGTGCAAACTAGAGAAATATTTAGATCACAAAGAGGTCACAAGGTCATGAACACTGACAGTTGCTTAATGAAGAATGGAGATGTGAAGTGAGCCCATTGTCAACCTTTAATTTCTGTTTATGCAACAGAACAACTTTAACAGAGCAGCACTGCCCTCTTGTGGATTTAGGTGTTATAGCACACGAAGTTCAAGCGGACGTGCTCATCAGCTATGCCCATTATAGGTTAAACAAAAAGCAATATGTTTATTTGCCCTCCCTCATATGATTCCTCCATCTGTCACATGCTCTGATGTTCTCAGTCAGTTTGAGCTCATCACCCTGCATTTTTTAAAAATCGATAACTGGTCGCATGAAGCCTGTTGGCTCTTCAAACTATCCAATTCCACCTTGTCTATTTGGCTCCTTATGCGTCCATTACTATAAATGGTAGCTTGGCAAATGGACAGGTACCAGGAAGTTTTAAACGTGCAGTTGTGACATGACTGATTAAACTGTTTGGCCTGGACTGTAGTGTCAAATTTTAGGCCAATCTCAAAACGTCCCTTCCTGTCCAAGATCCTGGAGAAAATTGGAACACTCTTCAAATAAAGTGTTACCGAAAATTGTTTACAGCCAGTTGGCATTTTACTTAAATGTGGTTTTAAAACTCACCACAGTACTGAGTTGACACTGCTGAAAGTTTTAATGACATTATTTTAGCCACAGACTGGTCAGTGTGTTGTTTTAATGCTGTTGGACCTAACTGCTGCCTTCGACACAGTGGACCATCAGATCCCCCTGTCTCACCTGGAGAACTGGGTGAGCATTCAGGGTCCTGCTCCACAGTGGTTTCAATCCTATTTAACCAAGAGAAGCTTTTGTGTGCCTGTTGGAGCTGTTGAGTCCTGTATGGTGGCTCTCACATGTGGAGTACCTCAGAGCGCTATACTTGGCCCTCTTCTTTTTTTCCCTCCTTTATTTAATTAAATTCAGTTTATTTATATAGTGCCAAGTCACAACCGAAGTTATCTCAGGGCACTGAACAAAAACATTCACATATATCTATTCTCTGGAAACATGGTGTCACTTGCCATTTTTATTGTGAAAGCCAAATCGGTGTTCCAGTAAAACAAGAAAAGCCATACTCCACAAACCAACTCCTGGAATGTATTACAGAAATCAGAGCATGAATGTGGCAATTTTTTTTTTACATTTTAATGTGAAAAAGACGGGTCTTGTTATTTAAGTACAGCAATGGTACCAACGTCCATGCTGATCTGGGTCCTTTAACACAATATCTGACTCAGACAGCAACTAACTTGGGTGTGAGGCTGGACAGTGATTTTAAACTTGATGTACAGATTAAAGCACTGATCAATTCCAGCTTTTATCACTTGCAACAACTGGCCTTGGTCAAATCATTTATTTCACAGCATGGTTTTGAGATTTTAATCCATGTTTTCATTACAAGTCATCTGGACTACTGTAATTCACTTTATGCCAGTCCGGGCCATTCATTACTGACTCGACTTCAGCTGGTTCAGAATGCTGCTGCTCGCCTTTTAACTGGCACCAAAAACGAGCGAGCACATCACCCCCGTTTTTAGAATCACTTCCAGTTTGTTTTTGTATTAAATTTAAGGTTATTTTATTTATTCTTAAATGTCTTCATGGTCTCACCCCACAGTATCTATCTGACGTGCTCCAGCTCTGCGTTCCCTCACACTCTCAGGTCGGCAGATGAATTCCTGTTGGTCGTTCCAAAATCAAGGAGGAGGCTGAAAGGTGGTCGAACGTTTTCAGTAGCTGCCTCTAAAGTTTGCACATCAGACATTTAATTAATTTTATTGTTTTTATGTTTGCTCTAATGTGTTTTTATCAGTGTACAGCACTTTGGCCAACAACATTGTTTTTTACAACACTTAAATGCTTAATAAATTAGGATGTATAGTATTGTATATATATATATATTTTTTTTTTTTAAACTATTTTATTATATTATTGTTTAAAAATAATATGCATGTAGGTATAAAATAAAATATAGTTGTATGAGGTATTGTTGCAACGAACGAAGGTTATATTTTTTATTGTTTTGTTTTAATTGACACTTTCCTTGTGAAATCAGGACTGGTCTGGATGTGTCAGACTTTTCTAGAAGGTAAATCACCACCGGTGCTATATATGGCCCCCACAGCCCCCCACTTCCCCTTCAACAGGCTTCTCACATATCAAAACCAGCAGGAGAAGCAGCTGAGCAGAGCTTGTGCGTTACGCTCCACAAGCTAAAATGACGACTACTCAGAGGTAAGTGGAATCTGTTTTATACATTTTCATTTGGAGTTGGGCACACGTCTGCTTGGTGACTTTACTGCACCTTAAAAACGACAGATGTGTGAAACCAGGCGCTCTTTAAAGACATGCAAGGGGTGTTTTCAGGTGTTGGACGGCCAATAACCCCAGATTTATTGCCTTTGTACAAGGGTTCGTTCATTTTTGTCTTAAAATTACAAGGACTAGGCTTTCTGCTTCGTGTTTGTCATATTTTAAACACAATCAATCATCTTGTTTGTGCTTTGGTTTCAGTACAACCCAGAAGGCCATGGGGAAGCTCACAGCCTTTCGATCTCAGAAGGAGATGTTTGAGAAGATGGAGGAATCCTTTAAGATTTGTGCTTCGTGTGAGAAGCGACCAGATCAGCTTTCAAACCCGCAGAGCTTGAAGCGTTGTGCCAGGTACTGACAACACGAGGAATGGATTCCATCCGGGTTTGATTGACATGCTGCCAATGTAATTGTTTACAGCAAGGAGAAGAATTCAGAAATGTTTGTTCTGTTTTTGGCCAGATGTCTGAATGTTTACTACTGCTGCAAAGACTGTCAGAAGGAGGACTGGCCCAAACACAAGAAGTTCTGCTCAGCTCTGCGTCTTGCTGCCATCGACAGAGTTGTGGAATGGCTTTTGTTCAAAGGTAAAATAACTAATCAATGCTGTTTATTTTTTGTCTGTCGAACAGCAAAACTAAAATGTGTTTCCTGTTCACCAGGAGATCTCCCATTTCCCACAGAAAAGTGGTCCAAGCCCCAGTCTGAGGTCAGGGGTTGGGATGATTGGCTCGCCATGCAGGTAGACCTCTCATCCCGACTCGATCCCATCATAAACGGAGAGAACATGAATGGCCTGTGGACCAATGCAGGCAGGCCTCGGCCTGACGACGACGACCTGAAGCAATCGCTGTGGAGGGTCTGCAGTGAGTTCTTCTCCAGGCCCCTTACGGTAGCATGGGGGATGAGGCTGTTCGGTCTGAACCCCTGTTCCAAACCGCTCACCGTGCACCTGGTGGGGGCAGGCCACACTGAGACCCTGGCAGCTAAACTGACTGACTATGATGAACTGAACTGCATGTTCCCCAAACACCAGGGTGTAGAGGTGGTGATGGTGGGACCAGAGGTGGTGGATGGCCCCATCATGAGACCCCCTCTCAGAGCCTTTGGCCCCAAACAGAGGGTCTACATTAGCGCCTACAGAGGTCTCTACCATCAGTTCTGGGAGGAGCTGGTGGAGACAGAGAATGCAGCCAAACCTGACCTGGTGGTTGGATTTCATCCAGGTGAGAACTTGGAGCAGCTGTACACAACATCGTGCGACTCTGGAGAAGATTCTGATTTGTACTGAACTCCTTTGGATTTGTTTTCCCCATCAAGGTTTTGATGCTAGTCAAGGTCTGGATCAGGGATGGCTTCCAACACTCCTGCTCCTCAGGGATTATGAGATTCCTTCTCTTTTTACAACGCTAAAGTGAGTGTCACAAATTTATTGTGCAAAACTCTTCAGTACTGTAACAGATGGGCAGTATTTCTACTTATTTAGGTTTAATTAATGTGGTTGTCTTGGATTTTTATGTAACACAGCTACTATATTACTAGTATGTGAAATATGCTCATTATACCATAATATTTTCAACTAAGGAAAACAGTCCGAGCTTAAATGAACTCTGCTAGAAATGATGCAAATAGTGATTTAATCATTTAAAATGGACACTATTAAATGTTTAATGTTCACATTACACCAGCTCTTCACTCCTTTCCTGTATCAACGAGTGTTCATGTGTATGTTTTCCATCTACTTCCTGTTTCGGTGGCTGCTGCCAACTGTCCTCCACCTGCAGCGAGACAGAGATGACCTACTCCCTGCAAATCCTCCTGGAGCTGGAGATGCACATGAAGGGAAATGGAGCCAACCCGTTTGCATCACTGAAGCCAGAAGTGGTGGGCTCGTCTCCCAACAAGCCCCCCGTTTACTGCAACTCCCACTACTTCTGTTTCCAGGGTCTGCTGGAGACCTTGGAGCTTGAGGAGCCTGAGGAACCTGAGGAACCTGAGGAACTTGAGGAGGCCTGAGGCAGCTGGAACAGGGGCTTCATTTTTTACATTCTTTTGTTTTTACATAAAAAAGTAGGAATATTTTACAATGTAACCCTGACCTACAGTGGTGCTTGAACGTTTGTGAAGCCTTTAGAATTTTCTATTCTGCATCAATATGACCTAAAACATCATCAGATTTTCACAAAAGTCCTAAAAGTAAAAAGAACCCAGTTAAACAAATGACACAAAAATATTATACTTGGTCATTGATTTATTTATTGAGGAAAATTATCCAATATTACATATTTGTGAGTGGTAAAAGTATGTGAGCCTTTGTTTTCAGTGCCAGGTGTGACACCCCTCCCCTGTGCAGCAAAAGTTTCTGGTAACTGTTGATCAGTCCTGCTCACCGGCTTGGAGGAATTTTAGCCCAGTCCTCTGTACAGAACATCTTCAGCTCTGGATGTTTATGGTTTCCTCACATTAACTGCTGCTTCAGGTTCTTCCAGAACATTTGGCTTGGATTAAGATCAGGATTTTGACTAGGAAATTCCAAAACATGACCTTTACTTTTCTTTAACCATTCTTTAACTAATTAGTCCTAACTTCTTCAGACTTGTGCTGAGGGTCATTGTGTTGATGCATGGTGCACCTTCTCGAGATTCAGTTCATGGACAGATGTTCCGACATTTTCCTTTAGAATTCTCTGATATAATTCAGAATTCATTGTTCCATCAATGATGGCAAGCAGTCCTGGTCCAGATGCAGCAAAACGGGCCTGAACCATGATACTACCACCGCCATGTTTCACAGATGGGATAAAGTTTTCATGTGGTGTTTTCCTTTCTCCAAACATAAACTTTTCATTTAAACCACAAAGTTTTATTTTGGTCTCATCCATCCACAAAACACTATTCCAGTAGACTTCTGACTTGTCCACGTGATCTTTATCAAACTGCAGACGAGCAGCAATGTTCTTTTTGGAGAGATGTGGTTTCTCCTTCAACCCTGCCATGACACCGTTGTTGTTCAGAGTTCTCTTGATGGTGGACTCATGAACATCAACGTGAGAGAGACCTTCAGTTGCTGAGAAGTTAACCTGGGGTCCTTTGTGACCTCGCCGACTATTCCACACCTTTTTCTTGGAGTGATCTTTGTTGGTCCACCACTCCTGGGGAGGGTAACTATGGTCTTGAATTTCCTCCATTTCTACACAACCTGTCTGACTGTGGATTAGTGGGGTCCAACTCTTTACAGATGTTTTGTAACATTTTCCAGCCTGATGAGCATCAACAACTCTTTTTCTGAGCTCCTCAGAAATCTCCTCTGTTCATGATCCACTTCCACAAACATGTTGTGAAGAGCAGACATTGATAGATCCTGTTCTTTAAATCAAACAGGGTGTCCACTCACACCTGATCATCATCATCCCATTGATTAAAATCAACTGACTCTAATTTCACCTTCAAATTAACTGATAATCCTAGAGGTTCACGTACTTTTACCACTCACAAATATGTAATACTGGATCATTTTCCTCAATAATGAAATGACCAAGTATAATACTTTTGTCTCATTTGTTTAACTGGGTTCTCTTTATCTACTTTTATGACTTGTGTGAACATTTGATGATGTTTTAGGTCATACTTATGCAGAAATATAGACAATTCTAAAGGGTTCATAAACATTCAAGCACCACTGTATATGTAAAACTAATTCATGTGCTTGTACAATATTTATTGTTGGAGAGTATGTGTCATTTGCCCTTACTGCATGTCTGAGTTTTATGGCTTACAAAAGACGGCTGTAAAATTTGTATTGCTATTCTTTGTTGGACCTTCTGTTGGTTTTGCAGCTAGACAATAAAATGATGCACACAGAGCCACAATAAAACAGTCCTAGAGGCATTGTTTATGTTCATTAACAACTTTTCTTTGTTTTTAGTGACCACTGGATAATTTACTACAACAATTACAATAAAAATAATTATCAGGAAAATGACCACAGCACATTTACAGTTAAATGTTTCAACAATATTTTCATTATCTAACCATATAACACCGAGAGATGACCTGTTCCTTTTTCAAGTCTCTATGGTGACATTATGGATAAAACCCATTTTACATTGTACATAGATTGACAATGAGATTGTAACGGTGTTTATGCCTGCAAAGGAATTCTTATTGCAGATGTATGGCATGAACTTGCATGAGCAGACATTGTAGGAAATGCAGCAGATTGAGAACTATGAACCACAGTGGTCTCTATAGATAATAAAGCTGTGTATCCTCTCATAATGTGTGTAGAACAAAGTGGCCAGTACAAAAACCTCTGTTGTGCATAAAATACCTCTCAGGCTGGAAAAGAAGTCACCTGGAAGTGTCATTAAAAAAGCCACAGTGACAGTCAGTGAGATGACAAAGCACATGGTGTCATGATGCAGATGAGGCAGACAAAAATGGTTGTGGAGATTACAGTAGTAAAGATAGTCATGGTGGCACACAGCACATTTAACCCCCAGGTCAGATCAGCCCAGTCAGGGAGGAAGGCAGCCAGCTGGATGTGCAACATGCATCTAGTCCTCCATTATGATGAAAACCACAGACATGATGATACAAAGAACCCAGACAAACTCACACTAGACTCCCCAGCTACTGACTATTCTGCCTCTGGATATGATAATGTGAAAGCACTAAATGTTATCTCCAAAAGGTATAAAATTCCTTGCAAGCCTTGACTGCACATGATGCTCAAATTCCAGATGTTAGGTTTGGAGAGACAAACTGCCTAATCAGTAACTGAGCATCTTGTTCAGGTCTCACACTGACATTCAGCCCAGTCTTTTTCCAGCAATCATTTTCACTGGTGCTTATTATTCAATTTCAAATTACTTAGATGGACTTCAGTGTGTACTTGAATATGAGCTAACACACCTTTAGACATGTTGTATGTGGATTCTCACATCCTCCTACATATATGCAAAACCCTCCCTGAAGAGAAGTGACATGATAAACTCAATTGCTGTTTGGACACATACACACACTCAGCATCTCAGTATATTTATGTTTTGTTACTTTTTTTGTTTCAATAAGACAAATCACATGTTTATGAGAACATTTCCTTTGCTCTTTGGGTGTCTTGTAGAATTCTAAAAAATATAGTTTACTTGCAATCAATTTTTTAGGAACAGTTTGAATCACATGCTGATATGCACTGGCAGTGTCATACAAACTATAAAAACAAACAAACAAAAAATCTAATCATAGAAAAATAAATAACAAAAAGACTATAAATAACTTGATTCATAACCTTAAAAACACTGAGACCCCCCAAATTTAGCACCAGATTCAACACAGCGATCGTTTAACGCGTGCAAAAATGCTCAAAAAGATGGTAAAGAACCAGAACATTTATGTGCGTTTAAAACCACAAATACCAAGCAGTGTGAAAATAAGATCCACAGTAAAAAGAGTGAGATTCACATATGTAAAAAAGGCCACCATGAACTGAATGGCCCAGATGCAATAGCTGGGCGGGCAGTCTTTGGGACGAGGATTGTTTCTGAATGTGTAAATGGGCCAAATGATAGCAGCAATGATATAAAGCACCACGGAGATCACTAGGAAAATGAACACAAACCTGTCCAGGTTAAAGGGCAAACATGCCTTCAGCTTTTTCAAGATGTTGGTGGGGATGATCAAAAGCAGGATGGGGAAAGGGATGATGTACAAAATGACACAAAAGATCAGAGCTGGTTTGTCTCTGTAACCAGTGAGGGAAACAAAAATCATGCAGCTCACAAAAGCCTCCAAAACTTTCCAGAATCCAGGCAGAGCAGCCAGGTAGCTGCTTTTCTTCTTGTCTAGACATTTGTCTTTCACCACTTCGAGAATGTAGACCAAGCCACACAGGAAGGCAAACAAGCTCACTATCCAGCCATACACACATTTCAGGCAGGCATAGAAGTTGGCGTACGTGATGGCGACAGAGATGGTCATGAGCGAAGAAGACATGGCTATTCCTGTGGTGAAGTCGTCCCAGTCCATGCAAAACATGTTGAGGATGACATCAAGCTTGAACATCTCAATGATGGTGATGATGAGCGTCATGATGGGGCAAAAAGCCCAGGTGAACATGGCGTAGTTCCAGTAGGTGTGAGTGCTCCCTCCTCTGAGGGAACCCAGGACAAAGGTGACCACGGAGATGATGATCTGAGCCATGTGTAGTGCCCCTCGTCCAGACAGCAGACTAGACGGAGTGAACACAGCTTGGGACAGCGTCTGCTTCACGGTGTCAAGAACTCCCATCTTGGTAAATTGTTGCTTGAATCAGCTTTGTGCTCTCAGGTGGTTGATAGTGACTAACTGACGTGTTCTCTGTTGTCTCCAGCTTTACCTTGCTTATCTACGTTTTATGATGTCTTTAAATATGGTTTGCATAAAGAAATGGACTGTGCGTAGTGCCGATATCAACTGTAGCTGATGGGACATTAAAGAAACGTTTTCAGTCCGTGAAACCATTTCCAGTATTTTACAGAGATAATAGGAAAGAGTAAAATAAGAGAAGAAGACCAAATGATGGAAGCTGAGGAAAAAAGAATGTGAAGAGTTCAGAAAGAAGCTGTTAAACTCCTTGGGTGGTAAAAAAAAGAGCTTCCAGATGACTGGACTACTGCAGCAACAATAGAGAGTCAGAAAGGCACTCTGTGTGTCACTTTGAAACTACTGTAGAATAGATTATAAGGAAACCTGGTGGTGGAATAGTGAATTGTAGTAAGCTATTCAGAGAAGCAAAGAAGAAATATGACCATGAGAGGACTGAAGAGAGTAAACTGGAAAATAAGGAGCTGCAACCGAGAGCAAATAGGAGGTAGCAAAGGCAACGAAGAGAGCGTATGATGAGTCGTATGGGAGGCTGGACACTAAAGAGAGCAAGAAGAACTTGTACTGATTGGCGAGACAGAAGAATCAGGCTGGAAAATATGTCATCATGATAGTCTTGCTAAAGATAGGAAAGGAAATTCCTAACAAATGTTCTAATACATCAGGAGAGTGTAACAGGAAGATGGAAGGAGTACTCTGAGAAGCTAGTCAATGAAAAGAATGAAATGGAAAGAAGATAGAAGTTGTAGAAACTGTGGACCAGGAAGTGGGAAAGATGAGTGAGGGTGAAGTCTGGAAAGCTCTGAAAAGAATGAAGAAGGTGAAGGCAGTAGGACCTGATGACATACCAGTGGAGGTCTGGAAATGTCTTGGAGAGATGTCAGTGAGGTTTTTGATTCAAATATTGAATGACATATTTGAAGGTGAGAAAATGCCTGAGGAATGGAGGAGAAGTGTACTGGTGCCCATTTTCAAGGACAAGGGTTGCAGAGATGTAACAACTACAGGATAATTAAGTTGATGAGTCACACAATGAAGATCTGGGAGAGAGTTGTGGAAGCAAGACTTAGACGAGAGGTGACTACCTGTGAGCAGCAATATGGTTTCATGCCAAAAAAGAGCACCACAGACGCCATCTTTGCTTTGAGAATGCTGATGGAGAAGTACAGAGAGGGTCAGAAAGAACTCCATTGTGTCTTTGTGGATTTAGAAAAAGCAAACGACAAGGTGCTGAGGGAGGAGGTTTGGTATTGTATGAGGAATTCTGGAGTGGCAGAGAAGTAAGTTAGACTGGTACAGGACATGTATGAGGACAGCAGGACAGTGGTGAGATGTGCTGTAGGAGTGACAGATTGCTTCAAGATGGAGGTGGGATTGCATCAAGGATTGGCTCTGAGACCCTTCTTGTTTTCTCTGGTGATGGATCAACTAACAGATGAGGTCAGGCAGAAATTCCCGTAGATTATGATGTTTGCAGATGACATTGTAATCTGTGGTGAGAATAGGGAACAGGTGGAAGAGAACTTGGAGAGGTGGAGTTATGCACTTGAAAGAAGAGGAATGAAAGTCAGCCGTAGTAAGACAGAGTATGTGTGTAAATGAGAGGGAGGCCCATGGAACAGTGAGGCTACAAGGAGCAGAGGTCAAAAAGGTGCAGGACTTCAAGTACTTGGGGTCCACTATTCAAGAAAATGGGGAATGTGGTAAAGAAGTGACAAAGAGAGTCCAGGCAGGATGAAGTGGATGGAGAAAAAGATTCAGGAGTTAGTCAGCGTTGACTAATCTGTCATTAGTTGTTTTTAACTAAACAAGAATGATGATCAAATTAGGATGAAAAGACTCACTCTGTACCCAATAAATATTTCAAAAATTCAAAAATCAAGATCTAGTTTGCAGACTGACTTTGTATTTTTAAAGGCTTCTGAAACATGTAAAATATAATTCTTACAAACACCAAACAATATTTAAACACCATAATTACTAGTTAAGAAGAAAAAAAAGAAAGAATCACATGATGCAAACTGGCACCCATTACTTAACAGTCACACTCTGATTCAAATTACAGTATTTGTCAACTTAATTATTTATTGAGTACCACATGTTCTAGACATTAATCATTTAAGGCGGCAGCTGTGGCTGAGTGGTCAGAGCAGTCGTTCTCCAATGGGAGAGCTGGAGGTTCGATTCCACCAGCAGACACATGCTGAATTCATTTATTCAAACTTTATTTATACAGGTTAGTCCCATTGAGTCTCGGGGACTCATTTACAAGAGCGACCTGAAAAGAATGGACATGGGCAAGACAATGAACCCCTCATTGCCTCCCATGTGTGTCCCATTGGTGCACGAATGTGATTAATCTTTGTATAGAATTACAGTAGTAGAGTGCTGTATGAATGTGAAAACCATTCACTGTACATGTACATAAAAACAACGAAATCAACGCTGCCTGAGTGCAAAATTCAGGGCAAAATTACCCACTCACCACCCTTGTTGTATCTACACGGACCTTAAAACGTGTGACACAAATCCTATTTTATTGATGCCTTTTTTCCTTTTTGATATTTAAATAAATATCAATATAAATAAACAACAAAAAACGTGAAAGTTTCTTGACAAAGTCTCTATTTTTAATTTCTTTAATGTAATTGTATTTTTTTTGTACAATCGTATCTGTTTCCGGGGACGGTAAACACGTAACACAAGAGGAAGTTGTTGTCAGTGTTGGTTGTGTTAGCGTTAGACGTGTAAGAATGTGTGTTTGTATTCAATGTTTAAAGTCCGCAAACATTTAAAAGTAACTCTGGAGGAGGCTATCGCATTGCTGGAGCTGTATTTAGTTGTAATGTTAATTTCATTTTCCTGGGCTATTTATTTTATTTTCGTGTCGAAGCCACTATTTGGGAAGAGCTACTTCTGGTCCAGTCGATGACACGGACTGGACCGGAACAGGTTCCCGGGAGATCTTGACGCCGTTTTAAAGCACTGAGATGGATTTTTCGAAGTTTCTCGATGATGATTTTGACGTGAAGGACTGGGTGAATGGAGCCTTTAAGGTGGTGCCGACGGACGCGCCGGGGAAGGCGGATGCTCACGCGGCCACACTGGTGATGAAGCTGCAGCTGTTCATCCAGGAGGTCAACAATGCCATCGAGGGTCAGGTTTATCATTCATTGTTCACTGAAATAACTGTACATTGTCATGTCTATTGGTAAGGTTTACTTTTTATTTCAGGAGTAACAATCTACCACTTCACAACCAGAGTTCCTAAGTATGTTTTAGGTGTGTTAGTAATGAAATCTGTTTTCCCAGTCACAGAATAATCAAATCAAATTCGGCCTAATTATGATCTATAATTTACTAAAGGGTTGTCAGGTTTAACGCATATTTTTGTTTATTGTAGAAGACACAGGCTGTTTTGCAGACTAAGATTAAAGCTAGTCCATGTTTAATAATACTAATTAGGACAGACTAACTGAAATAGTGTCATTTTAGTTCTTGACTTTATTTCTTTGTTTATTGTGTGAACATATTCCAGGATTAGATTGAGGTTTTTATTAAGCCTCTCAGGAGGCAGATTTACTTTAATTTCAATCAGTCAATCTGGTTTCAGGAAACGACACAGCACAATGACAGCTTCACTGAAGGTTCTTAATGATGTTGTTGAAGCACTGGATGCTAAGGATTATTGTGCTGCACTTTTCTTAGACCTGTCCAAAGCTTTTGACACTGTGGATCATAACATCTTGTGTCATAAGCGCTCGGAAATTGGTTTCTCAGATCACACCATTGGATGGTTTTCTAACTATTTCTCAGGTCGGAGGCAATGTGTTCAACATAATGGCACTTCCTCCAGTTATTTAACAGTCAACAATGGTGTACCACAAGGCTCAGTCTTAGGACCCACCCTCTTTACAATCTGCATAGGTAATGTAGGTAAAAACATCCCTGATGCATTCATACATTTCTATGCTGATGACACAGTTGTTTATTGTCGAGCTAAAACAGTTGCTAAGGCTTTCCAGCTTTGCAATCAGCATTCAACATCATCCAGACAGATTTATTCCATCTCAAACTTGTCCTAAATGCCGATGACACCAAAGGGATGCTTTTTTCAAACAGGAAGTCAGTCCCAGCAGTTCTTACTCTGATTTTATCCTCAATTGGTGTCTCCATTGAGTTTTTTGATTCCTATAAATATTTGGGCATCTTGGTGGACTCGCATCTCTCTTTAAAGCTCCATGTGGAAAACTTGGTAAAGAAACTGAAAGTTAAACTGGGTTTCTTTTTCAGAAACAGATCCTATCTAACCCTGAATGCTAGAAAACGCCTTGTAACTGCGACCTTCCTTCCCTCCACTGACTACGGTGACATTATTTACATGAACGCTCCTACAAGAACCCTGCAGATGTTGGATGTTGTCTATCATGGTGCACTAAGATTCATAACTGGCTGTGATTATCGTACCCACCACTGCACTCAGTATTCACTGGTTAACTGGACATCATTAACTTCACGCAGACTCTCCCACTGGTACATTTTCATCTTTAAATCACTTCTTGGTCTGCTGCCTTCATACATCTCCTCCTACACGTCTCTGCGTGAGTGCAGCTACGGAGTGCGCTCTCAGGACATTATTACCTGCAGTGTTCCCTCAATGAGGACTGAACTAGGCAAAAGTGCCTTCTCCTACTCTGCTCCTGTTTCCTGGAATATCTTACAAAAAGATTTGAAGCTCTCGACCTTGACCTCTCTAAGTGGCTTTAAGAATCTGTTGGACTCCTGGCAGGGACCAATGCAGACATGTTCCTGTTTTTAGTTTTCTACATTCGCCTTAGAATCTAGCTGTTTTTTGTTACTTTTTTTTCCATCTTATTTTAATTTGTAAAAAAAAAAATCTGTATGCCATTTTATAATTGTCCATTGTTATCATCATTCTTTTTTGAAATCAGGTCTCTCTTGTAAATGAGTCCTCGAGGCTCAATGAGATTTACCTGTTTAAATAAAGGTTGAATGAATTTCACCAAAAACATGCAATATTTGGAGATTAGGGCTGAAGATCAGACAATTAAATTAGTCTTTGCTGACACAAGTGATCCATCACAGTGTTTTGAGTTTGTCAGTGATGAACTAGCTTGCTGCTCTTTAGTTTTGTCTGTTGGGCTTTAGCCTTGAAACAAAGACAGTTTATATATTTTATATTATTAAAAAAAGAAGCCAAAACAGTTTGAAGAAGAGGACAATAAAAGCAAGCGTAATGAAATAAGCTGTAAATAAATCAATTTTGTCTTCAGCAATATTTTTAAAAGTTCTTTATAATGTTCTTAAATAAAACCTGTATCATGCATGATGTGGTATTAAACTGTTTAAATATAACAAAGTAATACAATTCAGATAAGATATTTCAGTTTACAGTTCATATGTTCCGTGTTCTTTTAGTTGTTTGCTCATTTTGAGTATTTCATGTGGATTTAAATGCAGCCCTCTTCTTTTAGTTTGAGCTTCTTTGTGTCGGTGACTGAAGTGTCTTGAGACTGTTTCCAGTCTGCAGTTGGATTATGTTCTGCAGATTTGCATCTCTTAAGCCATTTAGTTTTGTTTCTTGGTGGATTCCATGTTTCCTTGAACACTCCATAGTCAAGTTTTTTTTTTTTTTACTACTTAGCCAGAGTTTTATAAATACAATTTTTTAGATTAGATTTTTGACTTGTGGTCTAATTTAAATCCGTTTTGTTTAATACCCTCTGTTAGCTTTATGTGACAAAGACCCATCACTGTGTAGAAGATAGAGTTGAAAGATTTATTCTTAGCTGAAAATATGGATTTCATGAAAAGACAAAGCTGTAAAAGACTATTCAAATTAGAATATTTATTTTTTATAACCAGTGTTTTATTGTTATTTTTTTTACTTTTCTAAACTGCAGTAATTTTACTTTACAATCGTTTGAAAAATATTTCCCAAAATAATACCAGATATTGTCAGAAAATGGCATCCATGTTGCTCATTAAGATTTTCAAACTGTTCATTAAATACAGGTAATATTTATTTAATTCCTATAAGGTTTTGCTTAATCCAAGTATTTGCACAAACATAAATCCTGTCCATTATTTAAGAAGAGGTTCCTTGTAGTCCCAGCTATGAGATAATTTTATTGTTGTGTATTTTAAAGACTGAGCAATAATTGCCTTTGTGTCTGTAGAAACCAGTAATCAAGCCCTTCAAAATATGCCCCGAGTGCTGCGAGACGTGGAGGCTCTGAAACAGGAGGCGTCCTTCCTAAAGGAGCAGATGGTCCTCGTGAAGGAGGACATAAAGAAGTTCGAGCAGGATACTGCTCAGTCCATGCAGGTGTGTGAGCATTCCTGTCATTGTATGCATATGAAATGAGCAAAAAAAAAAAATCATTTTTTAAATTTAACAAGGAGTGAATATCAAAACTTGACAACGTGTAAATCATGTTGTCCAGGTTCTGGTGGAAATCGATCAGGTTAAGAGTCGGATGCAGCAGGCTGTCGAGGCTCTGCAGGAGGCGGACAAATGGAGCACACTGAGCGCAGACATCGAGGAGACCTTCAAAACACAGGTTTGATGTGGAAGCATCTGCCACGCGTCTTCATTCTTGATGGATGATTTTTGTTGCTTGGCGATTGTGAACCGATGGGAGAATATTGGATTGTTTTGCACAGTCACAAACACGAAAGGTCATCTTTTGTTTTCACAGGACCTCGCAGTTATTTCTTTCAAGCTCACAAGCATGCAGAACAGCCTGGCCATGTTGGTGGACACGCCGGATTATTCTGAGAAGTGTGTCCACCTCGAGGCTTTGAAAAACAGACTGGAGGCATTGGCCAGTCCTCAGATAGTTGCAGCTTTTAACTCCATGTCTATAGGTAAAAAAAAGTCTATTCTGTCCTTCAGATCTTTAACTAAATTACTTTGCTTTCACTATATTAATTTACTTTTCCTGCAGACCAGGCCAAGCTGTTTGTTAAAGTATTCACAGAGATCGACAGAATGCCACAGCTTCTTGCGTACTACTACAAATGTCACAAGGTGGGCATCACAGTCCTATCCCCTGCTCAGTATGAAATCAGAAAAGCAATCATGTAAATCTGACTTCTTCAGGGCCAGCTGGTGAGCATATGGCAGGATCTCTCCCAAAGTGAGCTCGGTCTGAATCAGCAGCTGTCTGAATTCTACGACACCTTGCTGTCCACTTGGCATGCTCAGATCCAGTGGAGCAGCCAGGTGAGACGCACCACAGCACCTGGTTTTATTGTAAGCTACTGGAGTGATACCCACTGATGTGTGATGTGAAACTGCTGCAGGTGTTCAAAAACCCATACGAAGTGGTGACGGTGCTGCTGATCCAGACCCTGGGGGCCGTGGTTCCATCGATCCCTGTGTGCCTGAGCGCAGCCATGGAGCGGGCGGCTCAGGAGGAGCGCCTGGATACTCTGCTGGAGCTCCATCACACCACATCCACCTTTGGATGCAGCCTGGAGGCCGCCATGCTTCCACACCTGGGTTTGTACAAACACAGGATTTTACTTTGACACACAGAAGAGTTTTTACTGTCGGATCTCATGATGCAGACAGTAATCTTAATATCAACAAAAAGCCTTCACAAAAATGGCTAATCCTCAGTGAATTTTACAGACAGTGAGCTGAAATTTGGCGTGGTAGTAACTGAAAGTTATGCACAACACATACTCCAAGTGCTAACAGATCACACGAAATACTGCCACGTCACATGAGACTGCATATTGTTGTTTTCAAGGTTTGACCAAAACGGCTGCAGCACAAGATAATCTGGGTCTAAATCTTTAGCACGAAAGGCAGTGAGCAATATGTATTCCTGAATGCTAGACCTGTAATATATATTTTTTTCCTCAGGTGAGAATAATCTGCTGAAGGTAAACGAGCTGGTCTGTGCACTTTATGACCCCTACAAATCTTATCAGCTGCAATACGGCGATCTGGAGGAAACTCATCTTCTCATTCAGATGAGCGCTGTTCCTTTGGTTAGATACCACACAGACTTGTCTGAAGACATCTGCTCTTCAGTGCATTTCTGGTTATCTCACCTCGTATTGTATTTTTAGGAGTACGGGGAGGTAATTGACTGTGTAGAAGAGTTGAGCCACTCTGTGAGTAAGCTGTTTGGCCTGGCCAGTGCCGCTGTGGAGCGCTGTGTCAAACTGACTGATGGACTCGCTGTGTGTGGCCTCCTCAAAGCTCTCAAAGCTCTGTTCAACAAGTAAGGATGCGTTTCACACACTCTCAAAGCGTATAAATTAATATATATATTAATATATATATATATATATTAGGCTTGTTACAATAACTTATGCTGGGCGATTGTCTCAGAAATTATTGCGATAAACAAAATATTGTTTGAAATTTGACAATAATTAATTTAAGAATATATTGTGATTAATTTGCTTTGCATGTATTACCATTTTTGACCACCGGATGACAGTGTAAGACTGTTTGAACCGAAGGATGGCTTGTGAGGGGAGCGAGCAGCGTGTCTCTTAAGAAAAATGGGAGGGAGGCCACTTGATGTGACATGGGCTGTCTCTCTTCAGTTCTCAAAATGGCGGACGCTCTGTGGTTTGAGCTCTTCAACATAGCATTTTTCACACAACGCTTTAAATTAAAAAAAAAATCAGTAAACAAGTTCTCGACTTCTTTTTGCAGAGAAAAACAACTTTTTACACGAAGGCACGGGTTTCAACTGTGAATTT